TGCGCTCACCACCAGTAGAGATCTTTGCTCTCAGACCCTCTGATACAGTGATCCTCTCACACCTATGATTAGTTTACTCAGTGTTCACTTCTTGTTTATTGGTTGTTTACTGTGTGTTCTGTCCAGTTCTGGCAGTTCGGGGAGTGGGTGGACGTTGTCATTGACGACCGTCTGCCAGTCAAAGACGGAGAGCTGATGTTCGTGCACTCAGCTGAAGGCAGCGAGTATTGGAGCGCCCTGCTGGAGAAGGCCTACGCCAAGTAAGGACAAGCGCAAGCTCAGTGCTGGTTCACCAGTTTACATTTCATTCAGCTGACGCTTTTATCCAAAGCGACTTACAACAAAGTTAATTTCCACCGCAAGGAAACAAACTCAGAAGAACAAGAAACAAGAAAGTGCAATTTCATCAAATAAGCCGATGTACAACTCGCTGTAGATAAGAACCATCATAAGTCCAATGTAAGTGCTGCAGTTAGTTAGTGTGTTAGTGGAGGTAGAGTCTGAAGAGGTGTGTCTTTAGTCTGAAGATGTGAAGGCTCTCTGTGGTCCTGATGTCTTCAGAGACCTCCTTCCACCATTTAGGAGCAGGACAGCAGAGAGTGGAGATCTAGTCGAGTGTTTTGCTCTCAGTGAGGAGGAACAAGCCGTTTATCACATGCAGAGCGGAGAGGTCAGAGGTCGGGATGTCGGGTTGGACCAGGTCCTGGATGTAAGCTGGACCCCATCCATTCACTGGATGCGGATAGCCAGCGAAGAGCCAGTTTACTGCTTGTTTACTGCTTGTTTACCTTTTGTTTATGGGCTGTTTACAGGCTGAATGGCTCCTATGAGGCGCTGTCCGGGGGCAGCACCACTGAGGGTTTTGAGGACTTTACTGGCGGCGTGTCGGAGATGTACGAACTGAGGAAAGCTCCCAGAGATCTTCATCGTATCATCAGTAAAGCTCTGGAGAGAGGGTCTCTGCTCGGCTGCTCTATCGACGTCAGTCACACCATCGACTCCCCTCACTTCCTGTCTGCTAGCTATTCACACAACAAGCTAATATTAGCTTGACCCAGGCACTCTTTGGCGCTGTCTTTTTTTCTTGATCGCCCGGGCAACACAAGTGATATTAATTCATATCAACAAATCTACGTGTCAAATCTCATTGATATATAAATAGATTTACATTACTTTGAAGTGATAAGAACACTCTGGCAACGGTCAGACAATGCTGGGTTTTTACTGCGCTATTTGGAGGTGTTGAAGCGGGATATCTTATTGTGAAAGGGCACAATTCGGTTGCCGGATATGTTGACAGCATGGATGGTAATTTTGGCAACTCTTTAATCAATATTTAATCTCCGCGAAAAACAATGTTTACAATGACGATAGACGTCTGTACGGGTCATGGCTATAGCAGCGCCCGGCTAATTCACCGGTGTTAGCGTCCTTTTACAGATTACTTTCATAATTAAAACAATATTTGGCTCGAAAGGTAAAGCGCTAACGCCTACTAGTATCCCAACACCTCAGCTCTCCAGCCTCAACCTCAATGTCTCCGACCACCTGCCTATCACCATTGACATGCACATCCATATCCCCATCCCAAAAGCCAAGTGTAACATTTCCTTCAGAAATCTCAAAACCATCTCCCCACAACTATGTCTGCCTCTCCTCCCCCGAAGTCTGATAATCCCTCTGATCCTGTAAACTACTACAACAACACACTCTCATTCTCAACGGTCTCATTCACACACTCAGCTCCCTGGTATTACCCCTGAACTCCACCACATGAAAACCCGTAAGCACCAGCTTGAAAACAGGTTCAACCGTCCATCTCCAGGCCCACTCTGACTACCTTCAACAATATAATGACGTTCTCATCTGCCCGGTCCACCTACTACTCACACCTCATACACTCTGGCTCCTCTAACCCAAAGGCTCTCTTCTCTACAATCAACCAACTTCTCAAACCTAAGGACAACACCTCCAAATCCTTTACAGTGGACAAATGCAACTCTTTCATTTCATTTTTCAAAACTAAAGTCAACACCATTTACAGCAACCTGAACAATTCCCCTGCCCTTACCATCCTCCTTCTGCCCCTCTCATGCTTACCCCTCAGCCCCTTTCTAAGTTCTCCCCTGTGTTCCCATTGGAGCTCTCTTCCTTCATGACAGGAATGAGAAGCTCCACCTGCATCCTGGATCCCATCCCATCTACTCTCACCAGTAGCAGACATAATCTTAAATTATGGATGCAAACCAATTTTCTCAAACTCAACTGTGATGAATCCAACATGATCATCATCGGTCCAAATTCTCTCATCAAAACCTCTGCTTCACCATCGACAACTCCACTCCGTCCCCCTGCCCACACATCCGCAACCTCGGAGTCATGTTGGACAGTAACCTCTCCTTCAAACATCATGTCAAACGAACCTTCTTCCACCTAAAAAACATAGCCCGTCTCCGCCCATCACTCCACCTCTGCTGCTGAAACTCTGATCCATGCCGTCATCACCTCTATAATAGATTATTGCAATAATATTCTTTATGGCATCCAAGATCCTTCTCCTCACTCACAAAGCCCTCCATAGTCAGGCCCCCTCCTACCTCACCGACCTGCTCCTCCATCACCTTCCATCCCGTCGGCTCAGCTCCTCTGAGGCCAACATCCTATCCATCCCCCACAGGACCAAGCACCGGATAGGGTGACAGAGCCTTCTCCATAGCTGCCCCCTCCCTCTGTAACGCTCTCCCCAAACTCACCTGACACTGACATCTCCACATTCAAAACACAAATCAAAACCTCTTCAGAACTAACGGTCGCGCAAACTCTAACATGTTACTTTGAGTGCGCAGTGATATGGGACGCTGGGGTCAAACGTACCAATCAGGTACTGTGCATTATCGCTTAATAATGCACTCACTCTCAACCAATCAGAATGCTGGATTTATCTACCGTATTATAACCACACGTGAACCAAACATGAACCAATGTATTCATGTCGGATGTTTCTAGGACTTTACTTTCTGCGATGCTTAGTTTTTGCCTCATCTTGTGAAGAAGTCGTAATAGTATATTTGGCCTGCTTGAATATAAATAAGAGAAGAGGACCTCACAACATGTTACCTTCTCCTCAGATCACCAGTTCTCTGGACATGGAGGCGGTGACCTTCAAGAAGCTGGTGAAAGGTCATGCCTACTCCGTAACCGCGCTCCGACAGGTGAGCTCACCTCCGTCCGACCCACATTTGTGTGTGTGTGACACTAGATGTTTGTCCTCCTTTCCTCTGCAGGTGGAGTACCATGGAAACATGGAGAAGCTGATCAGGATCAGGAACCCCTGGGGTCAGGTGGAGTGGACTGGAGCCTGGAGCGACAGGTCAGTTTGCTCTTATCCATGCTGGTCCAAAGGGCCCAACGGCTGTGGTTTGATCCGGTGTGTGTTTCAGCTCCTCGGAGTGGACCTCTGTCGACCCGGCGGAGAAGGACGAGCTGCTCTGCCAGATGGAGGACGGAGAGTTCTGGTGGGTTCTTTTAGGGTTCTGGTATTTCCTAGTGGGTTTTGATGGGTTCTTTTGGGTTACGGTGGGTTCTGGGGGTTCTGCTGGGTCTAGAATGTGAAGTTGAATGTCTTATATATTTATGGTGAAGTGTCCCTCAGGATGTCTTTCCAGGATTTTTTGCGCCAGTTTTCCCGACTGGAGATCTGTAACATGACCCCAGACGCTCTGAGCCAGGACTCCAGCTCGTTCTGGACCACAACCATGTTTGAGGGCGGCTGGAGGAGAGGGAGCACCGCGGGGGGCTGCCGGAACCATCCCAGTGAGGACGGCCTTTATAACCCTTTTTTAACCAGGATTAAAAATGAACACCTGAGTTGATAAATATTAACCAGTGTCGCGACGAGCCATAGTAGGCTGCATACTTCAAGGCAGGTACATGGAACGGTCAAGGCACTATTTGCGTTATCAGGTCATCTACGGTCATCTCTATACAGGGGAACAGCTTTGCATATCAAATGGAAACATCTTTATCTTGTATTCTGGTGTTACTACTGGTAACACCACTAGTACCAGTACTAGTACTAGTACTAGTTTAGGTGCAGGACTCTTGGTGCACAAAGGAAAGCATTATGTTTTTGTAAGCATTTTTTGTTTTACACAGTACTACACAACACCAGCCAACTTACTTTGGATGGTTTCACATTCCACCGCCTCTTGCATACCAACTACATTTCCTCCCTCCCTGCAGACACCTTCTGGATCAACCCACAGTATAAGGTGTCCCTTCTGGAGGAGGATGACGATCCCACGGACGAGGAGCCCGCATGCAGCTTGCTGGTGGCTCTTATGCAGAAAGACCGCCGGCGCTACCGCCGCCATGGGCAGGACGTGCACACCATCGGCTTCGCCATCTACGAGGTGAGAGGTCACCCTCAACACCGGACGGCCACAGTCAATCTCCATAACCGCCAGATCAAACACATTGCATTGTTTATATCTTTACTCCTGTGATTTGTTGTTTACTTTGAAATTGTTTTTTTATTAATAAAATGTACCTACCAGCAGCAGGAACTACCTGAGAGTGTCCCAACAACCCTGAACCGCTTAGTAACTACATGAATTCCCTGGTGACCATGTAGCAGCCCCTGGATTAGCACGTTAGCATGTCACCAGAGCCGGTGCTCTTCTTCTTTTCTTCTGCTCACAGGTTCCTGAAGAGGTGAGTCGCCCACACACACGAGGCCTCCTCTTTAGTTCTGTAGACCAAACGCTGCCATGCGTCCCTCAGTACCGAGGCCGTGCCAGCGTGCACATGAAGAAGGACTTCTTCCTGCGCCATTCCTCCTGCGCCCGCTCAGAGACCTTCATCAACCTGCGGGAGGTGAGTGCCAGGCTCCGCCTCCCGCCAGGTGAGTACATTGTGGTGCCGTCAACCTACGAACCTTCCAAGGAGGCTGACTTTGTCCTGAGGGTCTTCACGGAAAAGCATTCAGAGACGGAGTGAGTTTGTCGATGTTACTGATTTCTAGTATTGAAGTGTTAATTATGTGCTGGTAACGCCGTGTGGGTCTCTACAGGGAGATGGACGACAACGTGGAGGCAACCTTTGAGCAAGAGGTGAGCAAGGAGGTCTTCTATATGGATTTACACCTTCGGTCTGAACATCTGGTGGATAAACCTTCTTTGGATACATTGTTTATTAACGCTATTAATTGCTTCTTGATTTTGCGCTGCGATGAACTTTGACCTTCTCGCCATTCTTCTCTGAAGGAGGAGGTCTTGGTGAACGACGTGGACGAGTCCTTTCGGTCCATGTTCGCTCAGCTGTCTGGAGACGTGAGTTCTAGATCACAATGGTAGAGGAAACATCATATTATATCACATATTAAACATGTCTCCTCTTTTCAGGACATGGAGATCTCAGTCCAAGAGCTCAGGACCGTCCTCAACCGGGTCATGTCCAAACGTAAGTTCCTCTGCCTCTGACGTGGCGAGTATCGAAACAGCACCTACCATCTCTCCTTCTCTTGTGGTTGTTCACAGACGGAGATCTTCAGACGGATGGTTTCAGTATGGAGTCCTGCAGAGCCATGGTTAGCCTCATGGACGTATCCTTACACCGCTGATGGGTCTGATGGGTCTGATGGTTCTGATGGGTTTTATGGCATTGCTTGTTTTGATGTTGAGGGGGTTGGTTATGTGAAGACAGAAATAGTAAATATTTGGGTTTAATTGTGAAATTCCTAAATGTCCTTTATTTGAAACAGACGCTGAGAAACACTTATTTATTTCATCTGTATCTTTGTATTCTTAGTTGTATTAAGAAGCTGTGGCTCTACTGACTTTAAACAAGGTGTTCTTTATTCATCCTCACGTCTTCTTCTTGACTCGTGCTCAGAAAGATGGCAGCGCTCGACTCGGCCTCCTGGAGTTCCAGGTTCTGTGGAACAAGATCCGGAAGTGGCTGGTGAGTTCAGGGGAGGAACCTTACTGAGAACTACAACTTGTGGCCCAACAGGTGGATTGCTATGATTCTTCTAGGTTTTATCCAGATAATCTTCACTCATGAACTTTGAAGTTGTTTGAAGTGTGAAGTAAGAAGCTAATTATAGCATAGTTAGCTTTTCGTTCCCGTGGTCAGAAGGAAAGATTCTAGTTACATTACATTACATATTTCCTGTTTTTTGTAGTTGTTATCAATATTTAAAATCCACTGTTGTTTTCTCACCTAAAAAATGTTCAGAAAGGAATTTAGCCGCTGCTTCTTGTAAGCGTCAAAGCTAGGCTAATGTTAGCATTTGGCAGCAAGTAGCGCAATTCTCGCAAGGCATTCTGGTTTGGTGCTTTGCCACATGGGCAGAACGCATTAGAAACGCTAGCGAATTAGAAAATTTAGCTAGCGAGCATTAGCATTAGCGCCCCCATGTTTATCTGAATCTTGTGACGTGGCAGGGAATCTTCCGTGAGTTTGATCTGGATAAATCCAGATGCATGAACGCCTACGAGATGCGCCTGGCGCTGGGAGAAGGCGGTAAGTATAATTAGCCACGGCATTCCGGAGTTAACGGTAGGCTTCTCTGAACTAACCGTGACCCCTGACCCCTGTGTCCTAAGGGTTCAAACTGAACAACAAGCTGTACCAGATGCTGGTCGCCCGATACGCCGACAACGAGATCATCGATTTCGACAACTTCACCTGCTGCCTCGTCAAGTTGGAGGCCATGTTCAGTACGTCTGCTGCGTTTAGGGCCCTCTGTTCACTCTCCTGCTGTGTTCAGGGCCATCTGTTCACTCTGGAGAGGTTTGATCAACGGGACCTGAACACAGCACAGAGCCTTTCGCTGAGTTTCACGTTGTGTTTCTTGTTCTCCTGTGGTGTTTTCCTAAGAGGCCTTCCAGGAGCTGGACAGAGATGGGACAGGACGTGTAGAGCTTAACATCTCCGAGGTTTGCGATGTCAATGTTTTTCATGATGTCATCAAATATCAGTTGGTATTGATATAATTGCCCTGAGCATCGTCTGAAGGCTTCCTTGCGGTGCATAACATCACTATTTTTGTGTCTTTACCTATATATTGAAATATGTATGCGTGTATTTATATACATATACAGTGGGGAGAACTGTGTATGTATTTGATAGTATTTGATACATTGCTGATTTTGCAGGTTTTTCCACTTCTGGATTTTTGTTTTATATTCCGTCGCTCACAGTTGAAGATGATAAAACGCCTACACTCTTTGTAAGTGGGAAAACCTGCAAAATAGGCCGTGTATCGAATACTTGTTCTCCCCACTGTATATATATATTTAACAGATTAATCTATGTAATTAATGTGGCCGACATTAATGCGATAAAATATTCTAACGCAGTTAACGCAACTTGGTTTACTTCTGTTGTGCTGGTTTTCACTTCGTAAACCAAACCGCTGCTAACTGCAGTTAGACAGGAGAGCCGTGACGGTAACTTAGTAACTAGTAACTTAGAGAGCTTTTTGCATTGGAAGTAAAACAAAAACACATGTGTGTATATATACATTTTTTCGCATCTTCATATTTGGTGTTTGTGAATTTCATTTAGTTAATTTCTATTACATTGACTTTCTTTTTAGTTTGTTTATTGTCCCACTGATCCTCTGACGTCTCTTCACAGTGGCTCTATGTGACCATGTGTGGATGAAGAGCAACAAGACAACCAGTGCTACTACAGTACTACGTTACTACAGTACCACGTTACTACAGTACCATGCTACAGTACCACGTTACTACAGTACTACGTTACTACAGTACCACGTTACTACAGTACCATACTACAGTACTACGTTACTACAGTACTACGTTACTACAGTACCACGTTACTACAGTACCACGTTACTACAGTACCATGCTACAGTACCACGTTACTACAGTACCACGTTACTACAGTACCATACTACAGTACTACGTTACTACAGTACTACGTTACTACAGTACTACGTTACTACAGTACCATACTACAGTACGTTACTACAGTACCACGTTACTACAGTACCATACTACAGTACTACGTTACTACAGTACCATACTAAAGTACTACGTTACTACAGTACCATACTACAGTACTACGTTACTACAGTACTACGTTACTACAGTACCATACTACAGTACTACGTTACTACAGTACTACAGTACTACGTTACTACAGTACCACGTTACTACAGTACCATACTACAGTACTACGTTACTACAGTACTACGTTACTACAGTACCACGTTACTACAGTACCATACTACAGTACCACGTTACTACAGTACCATGCTACAGTACTACGTTACTACAGTACCATACTACAGCACCACGTTACTACAGTACTACGTTACTACAGTACCATACTACAGTACCACGTTACTACAGTACCATACTACAGCACTACGTTACTACAGTACCATACAGTACCACGTTACTACAGTACCACATTATGAAAGTACTACGCTATCAACGTACTGAATCTTCTGCTGCTACTTGATGTATAAACCGACTGCCTTCAGCTATGCTTAGTATGACGTCTATGTAAACTTTGTCTATTTAAACATTTGACACTATATACACATTATTTATCACACCGGAGATCAGTTAATTAAAGATGTGCCTGTGAGTCATAACGATGCGTTCAAGTTCCGCTCGGTTTCTCTTATTAAAGTCTACAAAGGAAACGAATCACTGAATCTGTGTCTCATTGGTTCACTTCAAATTACACTTCCAAAATAATCTATTGGATTAATATAACAAGATAAATAATAAAACGAGACAGACGTTTTAATACAAATAATATTTATTAGAATACTATAAATTACATATTACATAGGATTCCAAAATTGACATTGACGTCTCTGCTGAGCACAAGACCTTTAGAGGACGGGTCTGACGGTCAGTTCTGGTTCTGGTTCTCCCGGGCCTCCCTTCCTTCCAGCGGGCCCAGCAGAACGGCTTGGGCCTCCAGCAGCGTGGTGTCGGTGCTGGCTCCCAGGAAGCGGGAGGTGAGCTCCAGGTCCTGCAGCCGCAGACGGACCCTGGTTCCCCGCTGCAGCTTCTCCCCGTCGGCGGGTCGCCGGCACACGCAGTGGAACTTCCCCCCGAAGTCGACGTACAGGTCGTCCCGGACCACGTGCACGATCCTCCCGACCACCACCTTGTCTTTGGCCGGTCCCAGTTGGATCAGCGGGGACCCGCGGAGCAGCGAGGCGAAGTTCTGCTCCTGGTCGGAGGAGGAGACGCTGCCGCCGGCCGCAGATCTCTCCGCCCCCCGCCGGAGCTCCGACTGCAGGTCGAAAGCCGCGGCGAAGCCGGATCTGGGTCTGTCCGCGTCGGGCTGGTCTCCGCCGGCGGCCCCGCGGGACTCTGAGCTGGAGGAGGATCTGGAAAACCTGCAGGAGACCAACCGGTCTACGCGCCTGAAGCTGGAAACAACCTTCTTCAAGGCCGCCATGTTGACACTACAGGCGGAGGAACCAGAACGTCGTCACTTCCGGGGGAAAAGGTCGCTCACTGCGCCACCTGGCGGCTCACAGAAGAAAGTCCCGGGTTAGATAAGCACCCCCAGCACGTCTCTGTGGTCTGCGGGTTCTGCCCTAAGACTACGGTGGCCCTGAAGTGCAAAACACAACGGCAAATAGGAAAACACAACGAAATTAACGTGTTACGGAAAGCCTCATAGCAGGAAGCAGAGGACGGACCCTTCTGATTGGACAGACGGAAAAAGCAGAAAGATGGACTCAAGGCATTTTCATTGGCGCGCGAAATACTAATGAATTACTATTAAGCATATATTTTGTATGATAAAAATAGTGGGCAGCATGTGGCGCAAAGCTAGAATGAGCGGTGTGGAGATCTGAATCATTCATCAACTTGATATACTTGATATACTTATTATTAAATTGTTTCTAATGTTATGAGTTTAACCGTGTTTTTTTATTTTTTGGTTGGGCAGGTAGCGTCCTGGTGACGTAGGCACGTAATGACGTCGCTTCTCTTGCCTGCGTGCTGAGCGCAGAAGAAGAAGGAGAAGCAGCAGCAGCGCATGCGCCGTGTGCTGTTAGCTAACATGGAGGTGTTTGTGAGCTCTCCCAGCGTTAGCTTCTCTAATTCGCTGTTCCCGGACGGCTCTCTGGTCCGAGACGTCTTGAACCGGTTCGTTTGGCAGCAGGTGAGTGTTGACGGTGCTATGAGGCGGCGAAACATGCACAAGTGCTGTTGTGTCGTGTTGTTAGCTCAGCAGCTAACGGGGAGGCTAACTCCAAGGAACCCCATCAGAGGCTAGCGTCGTTAGCAATAGTTCGACTCATTAAATGTGTATGTTGTGTACTGTAGTCGCGCGCTCTGTGTTCGCTGGTGGGCGAAACTGCCGTGCGGTAGTGATGTGAACGAATCCTTACAAGGACTCGAGAGTAACGAGTCCTCTCAAAAAAGGATTTGTTTACCTGGTTCACTCGCGCGGCTCGGTTTAGTAAGACGTGAATGATATTCCTTCACAAGTAATAATTACAGGTTTCGTTATTTTAACTTTTTTGTACTTTACTTAGAGTTCAGCGTAATAGTTATGCCGTGATAATTGAATGCTAGTGTGAAAATAAATGGTCACTTAAAATCATCCAGACTGTCATGATACATTATTTTAATGAAGGAATTTATCTTGTGTTACATGTTCCATCCTTTTCGAAAAAACTGTTAGTTGGTTCTTCCTCTGTAAACGTTGCTGCTTCCCCGCAGGGAGCTGCTTCTTCTGCAGATTTCTACGTGGTCAGAAATGGCCGCCTGTCTGACCTGGAGGAGGCTGTGCAGCCTGGAGCTGTCTATCACCTGGAGCCCCGCCTCCGCGGAGGGAAAGGAGGTGTGTTCCAGGAGATGCACACAAACATGTCCTGGTTGGTAACAGGACTGACTGGTGTTCTTCTGTGGTGACTTAGGGTTCGGCTCCATGCTGCGAGCGCTGGGCGCTCAGATCGAGAAGACGACCAACCGGGAGGCCTGCAGAGACCTGAGCGGTCGCCGGCTCCGCGACGTCAACCACGAGAAGGAGTGAGAGCCTTTTCTTCTTCTGCTTCTACATACGCATGTCTCTATCTCCTACCTCTTCCTCTGGTGTGTGCAGGATGGCGGAGTGGCTGAAGAAGCAGACGGAGCGCGAGGCGGAGAAAGAGCAGCGACGGCTGGAGCGACTGCAGAGGAAGCTAAAGGAACCCAAGCACCAGTTCACAGACCCAGAGTACCAGAGGCAGTGTCACGACCTGTCGGAGAGGCTGGAGGACTCTGTGATGAAGGGTGAGGGGGGGTCAGAGCAGCTAGGGTCCTCTAAAGGCCTCAGTGCACTGGAGGAATTCATTTGTCCTCTCTGCCGGGACGCGAGTGTCACCCTGGACCTCATCAGCGGGCTGTGTGCTCTCCTGTGTGTCTCAGGGCTTCAGGCCTCCTGCAGTCAGAAGACCGACGACGTCTCTCCAGCAAAGAGACCAAACTGTGATCCGAGCGAGCAGCCGCAGAAGAAGAAGCAGAAGAAGAAAAATGCAGCAGAAGCCTGTTTGTGGTGAGGTTATTCTGCTGCCTTATCATTGTAGAGCTTCAATGCTTCCTTTCCTTATCTCCTAATGCCGACCCACAATGCCTTGCAACCACTACAATTCATTTCATGGTGCTACACAAAAGTTCTGTTAATTAAACAGAGCAAGCTGTTCATTATAAGAAGCATCATTAATCTAATTGTTCTGGGAGGAATATAACTGGTCAAAGAAACCTGCAGACGTCACATAGTTCAGTGGAGGTTGTCGTCTCCTAACCCCTCAGGAAGACTCCTTCACACCTTGACCTCATGGTGGCTTCCATAGAGGTCAAGGAGAAGTGGTGAGGGAAGGACGTTAGGAAGGTAATTGGAGCTGCTGATACTCTGTGCTGCTGTAGCAGAGTTTGAAATGTGTTGTCGTGGTTACAGGATGAGGGTTGACGACATGCCCGGCTCGGAGGACGAAGAGGACGAGGAGGAGGACGAGTCTTTGTCGTCTCCATCTCCATCCCCCTCCAGCTGTGGATCTGCTGCTGTTGCCATGCCGATGCAGGAGGTGGAGCGTGAGCAGAGCACCAGGTAGAGACCAGATCCACTTCAAACCTGATCCTCAGTCCGTTTCCACGTCTTATGGTCATTATTCACCACAGTGTAGGAGCGCGGAAACAAAACATTTCCATCCAATAACTTTGGACTTTGAACTTCAAATGTATTTGAGTAACAAGTGTAATCATAATAAATACATTAAAAAGTAATGCAAAATGTAAGTGCAAATATGTGTTTAAGAGTAAAGCGAAGTTTTAAAAGCAACTGAAAATAACAATAAAGTCTAAGTGCCGAGGATGTTGAGGATGTTCTCTGTCCAGCTCCTTCATCTGAGGCTTCATGAGCCTCTGAGGGACAAACCGCTGCCCGCTGCTTAGTACGAACATAGAGCGGAAACACCAGCTTTAATGATCCTTTTCTTATGCTCCAGTAGGTCGCTCCTAATTAGGGTTGGGTACCGCGATCCGGTGCCATATGTGTACCTGTGCAGCCGGTACCGACCGCACCCAGACGCATTGATGACGACTCCCCGCAACAGCTAACGTTAGCGTACCGCTTGTGCAGCTATTTAAGTCCGTGTTTCCCTCTGTTATTAAAATCTGCAAGGTTCCGCCCCGATGGACGCAGACACACACACACACACACACACACACACACACACACACACACAAACGTCCCGTCGGACGGTCCGTCCTCTGAAAGTTGCAAACCGGGTGTAGCTGCGTTCTGCAGACATTCACGCGAATGACGAGATCGTTTGATTCTTTCGTCTTTATTTTAGCAGCAAAGCGTTGACTAAATACAAAGTTCAGTCACACGGTAGATAAACGCTCTCGTGCCTTCAATATGTTACATGTCAGTAGTTCCTGCACAATGAGCATACATCTCAAATTAAATCATTAATATTCCCCAAATGCCAATGAACCAATCGACACCCTTTTGGTTTTTACACTGCAATGAAACTAAACAGTTCATGTATTGTTCAATTTGAAGAAAAGCCCCAAAAAAGCTTTGGCAATAAAAAAACTTGTATATGACAGATACAAATATGTTTCTGTTCAGGCATCACATGAGTAGTTGTATTAATATGAAATATAGTTTTTTCCCATCTTGTTTGAAGAGCACTTAGTGGAGGTAACATTAACTATTCAGAACAAATAAAGACTTTATTTACTACGTTGTTTAACAGAAGTGAACCAGCTGTTCTCCAACATGTGAGCGTGAACCGTACGAGAAGTTAGAGGCTCACTAAACTCACCATGAGGAGACGCTTTGAATGTACCTGCGTTGCCGTGGTGATGCGCTGTTCTGCAGGTTGTTTGGTTCACTGATGAACTTCTTCCCTCGGTGCAGGTAGACGATAGAAGCGACAGCGTCTTTTGGTGTATTGAAATGCCGAATAAAAAAGACTGAATGTTTTTATAATAAACGACGCGTCGGCAATTTTTACTAATCGTTCTGTTGAAATCCTCGTCTCCTTCAGCTCCTCAGACGCCTCCTCAGACCACCAGACTCCCAGACCCTTTGAGGACCATGGTCCTACTCAAGCCCCCAGAGACCAGACTCCCAAGCCCCCACAGGACCAGGGTTCTCCTGAAGCCCCCAGAGACCAGACTCCTAAGCCCTCACAGGACCAGAGAGCGTCTCCGCATCAGGTGGGTGGTCATTCCATATGAAATATTGAGCAAAGAGCTTTTGGCTGCATTTGAGTTACCAAAAAATGGCCTACCGTCTATTTCTAACCACCTTTCCTTGACCTCTGTGGGAAAGGTGGTTAGGAGAGTTGATGAGGACTTAGGAAAGGACAAGGCGGTGTTTAGTGAATGGACTCCTCTTCCACTGAGCTGCTAGTTGTGATGGACGGAGACGCTTGTTGGGGACGTCCGTCTGCAGCGGCTACAAAGAAGCGTCTCCGATGCTTCATGTGTTGTTAGTGTGAGTCGTGCAGACACACAAACAACCAGGTTCAAAGGAAAACGTTATTAACACAAACCAGTTAGTCACATGATCTGCGTTTGTACGTCGTCGGTATTCTCAGTGAACGGACCAATGATGCGTCTCTAGTTAATTCCGTCCCACAATTCTTTATATTTATCTCCTTTCCTTTGGTAAGGCTGCTCCAGTGGCTCCTAAAGGAAGGAAGCATTTAAGCTCCTTTCCTTAGCATTAGAGTACTTCACTCAGTGAGGAACCTTCGACAACTCAAACCCTCGGATGTGGCGCTGAACTATGTGTTGATGATCAGGACCTGGTTCTGGTGGATCTGGATCTGGCGCAGCTGGAGTCTCTGGGTCTGGACGTGCTGAAGGGGGAACTGATGTCTCGCGGGTTGAAGTGCGGGGGGACCCTGAAGGAGCGCGCACAGCGGCTCTTCTCCGTCAGAGGGCTGACCCCAGAGCAGATCGACCCGGCGCTGATCGCCAAACCGACCAAGAGGAAGTGACGAGGTCGCCGCCTCTTTGGTGAAAGCTTTTTATTTTTACTAAACATGCGCCTCATTTTTCAGAGGGTTTGTCACAGAGCAGCAAGCTTTTTTCTTTAAATATTATGTAACTTGTTTCTTTTAAATGTGTATTAAAATGATTGAAACAGAAACCGTTGTTTGGAACTTTGTCCCACTAAAGTACGACATGTTGCCTCGTCTCTTCTTGTTGCCGCATTTGACACTTGTTTGAATCGCAACGATCAAGACAAATTTCTGTGTAAGACTCCAACATTAGTTCGGGGGTCAAAGGTCAGCTGTTCCACAGGTACGGAGCACTTTGCGGCTAATTCGTAATTGTGGGCCGTACAAAATAAAATTGGGTTGAATCATTTATGTCCAGACAAAGAAATTGTTACGTTAAATTATCACATTTGCGCTGGTGGCAGCAGAGGATTGTGGGTAACGGGGGTTAGAAGCCGGGGTCCCAGGAAGTGACCTGCTGAGTGTCCAGCTCCTCGAAGCAGACAATGACGTCGCCGGTCCTGAAGTCCACGTCTCCGTCGGCTGACAGGCCGCATTCCATCCCCGACTTCACCGAGTGCACCTCGTCTCGGTGGTGCTTCAGCGCCGCCAAAGAACCTGCAGGAGAAGGTCAGCTTTACCCATGATGCTTCACTTTCAATCTGAAACGGGGCGGTAGGTTCTTGTCTTACAGGACCGGTCAGGTCCACTCTTAGATTACGGGTCGATAGATGGCAGACAGCAGCAGTCTAAGAATGAGTTTCACTTCCTGTGTGGACGCTGCACCGGTACCGTGGAGGTCCGACTCACCTTCCCACACTACGTCCCGTCCACGGACCAGTCTGAACTTCAAGCGGCGGTCCAGTCGACCTTTCTGAACCCGACAGCCGGCGACCGGAACCTTCTTCTTCCCCACAGAGACGTCAAACATGGTGAGCACCGTCGCTTCACCTGCAGGCGGATCCACACTAATCAACAGCTGTGCTGGAAGCAGAGGCCCGTTTCCATCGGCCAGATGTTTCTTGTGTTAGGCGTAAAAACATTAAACATCTCTAAAGGAAATGTTAGAATCCAGAGACGACGTCTACACGGCAAGAAGTACGACAGCCGGCTGCAGCGTGTGGAGGCACATCGATGCCGTCAGGTTGGGTTTGTGCAGCAGAACATTCCAACAATCGCCTCCAGTACGTCAACCAGCTGTTATGTTCTTCTTTCACAGTAACAATTCTATTGAATCGTTGACACTCCAGATGTTTGTCACATGGTGGAGAAGTTTCCAGATCTATTGACCAATAAGGTGACAGATCATCTGTAGGCGGCGCTCGATTATTGATAAAGAGGTTTTAACCGCTTGTTCTACGATGTATTCATTGTGAAACGGGAGGCTGAACATCTAAAGAACCACCAAACGTCTGGTCCTCGGAGGCCTCACACTGAGGTTCCTCACCCACGATGTTCTCTGAGCGCAGAGGAGGCAGTTTGCTGCTCAGCTCCTCCTTCAGCTCGTCGATCAGCTTGTAGATGATGGAGTGGAGTCTCAGCGGGACGCCTCGCTTCGCCGCCAGCTGCTGGATGGACCTGCTGGCTGCAACATTGAAGCCGTAGATGGAACCTGTTGAGGGAGACGGAAGTTCAGGAGGAGTTTCTGTCACAGGGTCCAGGGCCTCTGGCTCCGCCCACTCTCCTTACCTGAGAAGGCATCGGCCACGTTGACGTCGTTCTCTGAAACGTCTCCAATGCCGAAGTGAAGCACCTCCAGCTGACACTGCTGCTGAGACTCGTAGCTCTCCAGCAGGTTAAGAATGGCCTCCACCGAGCCGTCCACATCTCCTGCAGGTCAAAGGTCGGACATGAAGATCAACCACAATGCAGCTGTGCGTTTAGCGAACCCCTGCGGGGTCCCGACCGGAGCTGCGGACCTTTGATGATGAGCGGCAGGCTCGGCTCGGCGCTCTGCGTCCGCTCGCTCGGCCTCGCAGCAAACTTGTTCTTGTTGGCTCGGTACAGGGCCGACTTCCTCTGCCTCCAGCTCAGGTGAGTTAGCCCCTCCCTCTCCTTCCTGTACTCCTCCAGGTGCAGCTTCTGCTTGAGCTCGATGACGCCCTGCTCCTCCTGCAGCTTCTCCTGCTCCTCGGCGTAAGTCCTCCACTCCACGACCTCCCTCGCTCGCTGCTGCTCCACGACACACAAACCATCAGCGACAACGGCAGCGCTCAGCGAGGACGTCCCGCCGGCGTGTCCTCAGTGTCCTCACCTCCGACTCCACCTCCAGGAGGACCTCTCCGGCAGACGGCAGGTCCTTCCAGCCCACCACCTGCACCGTCGCGCTCGGCCCGGCCTCGGTCACCGCTCGCCCGTTCTCATCAAACAAGTAGCGGACTTTGGCCCAACTCCTCCCCGCCACCAGGACGCAACCGCGCCTCAACGTCCCGCGCTGGACAATGGCAGAAGTTACAGGACTGAGGAGACACGAGGAGGAGCTCTCAGAACCGGGGTTACCTTCTGTTTGGAGAGGTCACGGAGGACTCACCCTCTCCCTTTGTCGGTGCGACTTTCGATGATGAGGCCTTCCACGGCACCGGTAGGCTCCGCCTTCAGCTCCAAAACCTCCGCCAGCGCAACCGTGGCCTCGGCCAAAGACAGCAGGTTGTCGCCCTAAAACAGCAGCAAGTATTCTTCTTATTGACGGCCACAGGAGCAGAAGCGTCGCCCCCTGGTGGCCGTTGGAGAGAATGCAGCTTTAAGACTAAAATATGTATCGAGTTCACCTTGAGAGCAGAGACGTGGATCGCCTGAACGTCTCCTCCGAACTCCTCACAGACGACGTCGTGAGCCAAAAGCTCCTGTTTGACTCTCTGAGGGTCGGCCTGAGGCTTATCGCACTTATTCACCGCCACGATAATCGGAACTGAGACGACAGCGGAAAGAGGGTAAAGCTGCAGGAGAGAGAACACAACACCGGCCTCGGGCTGAGCGCTTACCTTTGGCTCTCCGGGCGTGCTGGATGGACTCCACCGTCTGGTTCATAACACCATCGTCGGCAGCCACCACCAGGACCACTATGTCGGTGGCGTTGGCGCCGCGGGCTCTCATCGAGGAGAAGGCGGCGTGACCCGGAGTGTCCAGGAAGGTGATCTTTTCACCCGTCGGCAGCTGGACTGAAGGAGAAACAATTACGGCAACAGATCAAAACTTCACGTGTTTTTTTCACGTATAAATCTGCAGTTCGACAAGTATACAAGGTTGTGTGTTAGTTTAAAAATAAAGGAATAAAAGCACAAAGAAATGTTAAAATAAAGTGCACCAGCGAACAGAAAGTGACACGTGGGATGTCAGTGAGTGGGGGGGACTGTGTGAAATGTGAAACTAATGTGAACAATTATAGAATATTTAGTCAATAAAGTTGATTGAAAGCAGGCGAACGTACCTAGAAAGGCTCCGATGTGCTGAGTGATGCCGCCGGCCTCTGTGGAGACGATTTGGCTCTTCCTCAAACTGTCCAGCAGGGTGGTCTTACCATGATCTACGTGACCCATGATGGTGACCACCGGGGGGCGTTGCGCCAAGAGAGACGGGTCTGCTGGAGGTCTGAAGGGGTCATAGGTCAAATGTAAAGTCTCAGAAACCGGCCATTTAAGAATAAATCTATCAATCAAATTAGTAAAAAGGCAGCATAAGATGGACCTCTCTGCATGCTAGGCGGACCTCTCTGCATGCTAGGCGGACCTCTCTGCATGCTAGGCGGACCTCTCTGCATACTTAGTGGATCTCCCTGCATACTAGGTAGACCTCTCTGCATACTAGGCGGACCTCTCTGCATACTTAGTGGATCTCTCTGCATACTAGGTAGACCTCTCTGCAAACTAAGTGGACCTCTCTGCATACTAGGCGCACCTCTCTGCATACTTAGTGGATCTCTCTGCATACTTAGTGGATCTCTCTGCATACTAGGTAGACCTCTCTGCAAACTAAGTGGACCTCTCTGCAAACTAGGCGGATCTCTCTGCATACTAGGCGGACCGCTCTGCATACTAGCCGGACCGCTCTGCATACTAGCCGGACCGCTCTGCATACTAGGCGGACCTCTGTGTACTGATGGAACTACCTGGCGTGTGATTGGATCTGAATAAACACGAGGAGGAATAATGTGATGCAAGATGTCGTACTTCCTGTGGACGTCCCTGTTGGGTCTCTCTTTGGTTTCACTCAGTTTGGCCCATCTGAACTTCATTCCGGATCGTGTCACCACCTCTTTGATCCACCTCTCCTCCAGAACCGAGTCCGGCTCCAGGGAGTCCAGATCCACAGAGGTGTTCAGTAGAGCCTCTAAGACGTGATCTATAGACAGTGGAAACATGAATAAACTTGATCCTACTTTATTATTAATAGATGTTTGATTGCTTCTCACCAAAGTCTTTGTTCATGGCCTCAGCGAGAGACGCCACCGTCATGTTCTGTTTGATCTCAACTTCCTGTTTGTCCACTTTAACTTTGACCTTCTGGTTCTTTGGATCTTTCTTCTGACCTTTGACCTGCAGACACATCACAACATCTTGTGTTTGTATGTGGTGAAATAAAATAGTCATGTGTGCAACGTGAACGTTTCCTCCCATTAGGTGTATTTTGAGAAGAAGTTGCATCAGTGGCTGTTTGAGACCGACAGCAGACATGTCAGCTGGACTCACCTGTTTGGAGGCGTACTTCCTGGTCTGCTGACAGGTGAGTGGGAAGGCGGAGCTTCCAGCGGGACAGAGGATGGGCAGAGAAGGGAAGTTGCTGAGCAGAGCTGGGTCAGCGCGGACGAGCCGGCGGGCCCCCCGCATCACTGATGACATCACACTCATACCTGCAGAGGGAAAGGTAGAGAAAGGTGAGGCTCACTCTGATTGGTCAACGGATGCTGGTTTGTTGGTCCTTTCATTGTCCAGAACAAAGAAACCCAAACATCTGAATATGAAGACAAAACATGTTATATTTTGAAATGTGTTTCAATATGCAGCAGGACGTCTCAGTCCGTGTTTACGTTGTTTACTGAGGACTTGAACACCAGCTGATCGTTCATCTTTGTTCCCTGTTATCATTGTGTTGCCATGGTAACACACAGTAGCAGATCGCTTTCAACTAATCCCAGAAATGTATCAACAACAAACACTGGACGGTTGTGAGAACTCCATGTTCAGAATCAAGTTCTGGGATCCACCAGAACCAGAACCTTCTCTACGCACTTGCACCTGGAGGAACACGTGAATCACGTGACATTTAACAGGTAGGAGAGGAAAGGGAATCATTATGAAACGCCGAATTGATCAGAGAGTCTTTGTAAATCGAGATGTATTGAGTTGGACTTTATTCTGAAGCCAGGAGCGTGCGTGTACGTTTATGGACCAGCTGATATTTATCTGAACCGGAATGCTTGCTGCCGAATTATTTAGTCGAACCAACCTTTGATAAAAACCAGCGGAGGCTCAGTTCACTCAGGTGTTTGTACCTGTCCGCACTAAAACACACTAACTCCGTCTCACCTGGTCACGTGGTTCTGCGTTCACCTCATTTAGAAACAAACTCATCTGTTCTCTTCAGCTTCACCGTGAGGGAAACGTCCCACAGGAGGCCGCCATGACAGCTGCTTCACAGGAGCGAGAACCCGCCGCGCCCCCTGCTGGTCCGGAGTGGACCTGCTGTTTCCGGGTCTACGGGACTAACGGCAGAATTACACGATTCAACAGCAAAGCACCAACTTTATTTAAATACATTTAAACTTTTAAACATTTAATCATTTTAACCAACGGAATGTTGCCGATAATACAACATATAGGCTGAATAATAGCTTAAAAATAGTAATATAAAGAGAACAAAGATACATTGATATAAATACATACATATATATATATATACATATATATATATATATACATATATAGATACATTGATATAAATACATATATATAAATATACATATATATATATATATATATATAGATATTATATATATCTATATATATATAGATAGATATATATATATACATATATATATATATATAGATAGATAGATCTACATACATACATATATAAATATACATATATATGTATATATATAATTATATAGATTTATACATCGACACACACAAAGTCAGTCAAGAGGACTCTTGTCTTTAAAGACAGGTTGTGTTTATTATTATCATCATCATCATCATCATCATCATCATCAATGGTCATTGGGTCATCTTGAAATTTGCCAGTCACCATGACAATCAGTCTGGATCAACTGTCAGTAGTTATTGTCATCAACAATAAAGTTGCCTGAATCACAGTTACAATATTATATATATATATATATTTATTACTGTTGTAACATGTGTTTTTTTAAGTTTAAAGTTGACAGATTATCTAAAAACACAACAGCTAACATCCATCATTTTACAAAACAAATAAGTTCGGTTAAACACATACGACCAGAACCAGCAGCACCATTTCATATGTATATATTATTTAATGTATAATATATATTATCTATAATCTTTTTTATAATTTAGAATCTTTTGTTAATGTTTCACAGTAAAAAGTCCCTCGACGTGAAGGCTGTTTAACGTGTTGCTATGGTTACGTCTGGGATGTTTGTCCACAGAACCCTCCATGAAACAATGTTCCTGACATTGATATTGTGCTGTAATTTATTAAGACGACACTGAACAAGTCTTAACTCAAATTTATTATACACTTAAAATAAAATAAAGAGGTGGTTGTCTATAGAACCACGGTTACGAACCTTTTAAACTAAGTGGGTTTGTAATCTTTAGATAAAATAAATAAACATAAATGTAAAAGCCAACATGCTGGATTTGACATTTAGAACATTTCAACTTCACTGAAAACATTTTGACACAAGAATAAAATATATATGGTTGTTCTGTTACACGGGTTCCATGTAGATTTACTCTCTAAAGAACGTGGTTCTAAGAGAAAACCCAGTGCCACCTTGTGGACAGAAAAGTCCTGTAATTTTGATTTTGTACCTTAGATATTATTTACTAACATTAAGTTGACTTAGTTGTATTTTGAGGTAGAATTCTTTCTTTTCATCTTTGTTCTATTCGTTCTATTTCATGTCAGTAAAATAGAACTTCATCAACGTACAAGATGAAAAACAGAATCATCATCAATATCTGTAAAAAGCCCTCAACAATCAGGTTTCATAGCACCGGGTGATCAATAAGGTTATCCAAGGTTTGGTCGGAGTTTGTGAAGAAGGCACAAAAACAGCTACGACACAAACGTCTGAGACAAGAACCCTTCAGAACCAGAAGAACCATGTCAGGGTAGAACAGCACCGGACAGAAGACCTCATGTCTGGCCTCAGTTAAAAAGGATGAAGAGTCTTCAGACTGCAGCATCACAGGAGGAAGAGGAGGAAGAGGAGAAGAAGGAAGACTTATACGACTGCAGCATCACAGGAGGAAGAGGAGGAGAAGGAAGACTTATACGACTGCAGCATCACAGGAGGAAGAGGAGGAAGAGGAGGAGAAGGAAGACTTATACGACTGCAGCATCACAGGAGGAAGAGGAGGAAGAGGAGGAGAAGGAAGACTTATACGACTGCAGCATCACAGGAGGAAGACGAAAGGAAGAGGTAGAACTCTGATGGAGGACTCAGGTGGGGTTCCCTCACTGACATTTCCACACAAATAAACTGCAAAGAAAGAGAAACATGTTTATTTTACACAAACAATGTCAGACATTGAAAATAACTAAACTGGGTTTATTTTCATTCACTTTTAAGGACCCAATCGATTGCTTCCACACGGCTCTCAACATGGCGACAGCTGATCTAGCGGCTAGCGGCTAGCAGCTAACAGCGCTAATGGTGTTTACCTGCGGGTGCGATTAAAAATGTGAGGCGAATTAAAAGATGATGTTTCAAAGGTTTGAGGAAAATGAAGACAAGAACTAAACGGGTCGAACACAGAAGTGTTTCGCCAGTGAGTGAAAATCCGTCTGTGTCTTAGAAGCAGTTCAGTCTTTACTGCGAGTTCCATGTGAAGCTTTGTTGAATGAGGAGGAAGAGGAGGAAGAGGCCGTCTCACTGACTGAACAATGAGGAATGAATCACAGAGACCATCTCACCTGCAGTCGCTGCCTCCGGCGCTGATCACAAACTTGTCGTCGCAGGAGAAGCGAATGTTTGTGACGTGGGCGGAGTGACCGAAGTAGCGCTTGTGTTTCGCCTGCGGGAGAACACAGGCGATGAGGAAGCGGCGCGATGAAGATCTCAGTTCACCCTCGCACAGAGGTTACTCACAAATCTCTCAGAGCAGGGAAAGTCAAAGAGCTTGATGAGGCCGAAGTCGTCTCCGGTCACCAGGTTGAGGCCGGCGAGGGAAACACAAGCACAGTTGACGTCGGCCTTCTCTGCGTTACGGGGCCAGACCCCCAGGACCTCGTCACCGAGGATGCTGAGAAGAAGCAGCATCGGGGTCAACGTGGCCCACAAAACTCAGGAGCACATTCAGTTCAAGTTGAAATGTAAAAATAAGTTATAGGGTGTGCAAAAGAATACGCCCTGTGACATGTTCCCTTTGCTGCACGCTGTGCTCCCCTAGCATCACAGTTAGCTCCCACAGTACGGATCACCTGGTCCAGGTAGCCCAGGTGATCCTCTCCAGTACAGTCTGCTCTGTGACAATCTTTCCTGAGGGAACTTCATGCACTTGCCGAGTGTAGGTGTTGGTGGACACCTGTGGGGGGAAACAGCATCGTAATCATCATCGTCGTATGACAAGGAGTTGTTAGTCACAGGTCAGAGGTCAGAGGTCAGAGCACCAAGCCCAGATTTGCCATGGACCAAACCAACTTCTTTCACAGTTCTTTTTACCTGGACGTGTTTGCTGTCAGCAGAGAAGTCGATCTGGATGACGGCGCCGGCGATGTCCTTACAGTAGCCGATCCTGTGGAGGGACGGCCCAAGAGAGAGGTCGTAGAAATCCACCGCACTCTCAACCGAAGCCACGGCCAGGAAGCGGTTGTCCGGACTGAACCTGATCCACAACAAGACCCCACAGATGATGAGGGTCCAACGCGGAGGGGTTAAAGGGCTGCCTGACTGACGGTGTACCGTATGTCCCGGATGGCGATGCTGCGGTCTCTCTTCTTGCCCCAGACGCTCAGCGAGTTGACCAGCAGGACTATGAACTCCCCGTTCTCCATTCCGATAGAGACCATCTCCCCGTTGGGACTGTAGCAGGTGCACTTGGCCGGATGGCCCAAACTCACCTTGTTCAGAAGTTTCTAGCAAAGACAACAGAGGAAGTGAGCAGGTGGTTAAGTGTTTAACCCACTTCAGCCTTCACGCCTTCACCTTATCAGCCAGGTCCCATATCCGGATGGTCCCGTCGTCGCTGGCGGAGATGAAGACGTCTTTGAAGGGATGGGTTGCCAGACCCCAGATGCCCCCCTGAGTGTGTCCGTTGATCATGGTGTTGGAGGCCGCGTTCTTCTCTCCCACCTCTATGATCTCGCCATCTTTGGTGCCCACCAGGATTTTACCCTGGATCATCAGGACAGAGGAGACGAGTCAGAAGGTTTGGGAAAAGGTTTCACATTATCTGTCACTGAGCTTCACATGGAGGAGGGGGCACGTGATCGTACCTTCCCTCTGCAGACGGATCGCACGTTCTCCACCGGCTGGCCGGTCTCCAGCTGAAAGGCTCTGCAGCGCTTCATCTCCTGGTCCCACAGCTTCACGGCACCGCCCTCTTTGGTCCTGTCACACGCAGCAGGTGTCATCTGCTCAGTGAACTGCTTTTTAAATGTATTATTGCTTTTTCTGTTGGAGACATTTCATCCCAAGAGGCAGATGTTACAGATGAGATACGAGCGTGAACCCAAACCCTCACAGTCAGACGGCTCCCATGAACCACCAGCAACAGCAGCTACTTCAGCCACTTTGGATACGGACAAACTATTCCTGCCTCTTGAACCGTGAGTCACTGAAGAAGCGCATGGCTGGTCTTCACCTACAGTGGCCCTCATGTCTGCTCATCATCTCCGTCACCTCTGCTGACCCTCCACAACAGCACTGGGATTAAAAGACGCGCTGCTTTTTTATACCACAGCCGATGAGAACCAGGACGTAAAAGAAGAATAGTGAACTTCACATTAGAAATCACCGCGACACTTTCAACTCAATTCATTTGAGTTTCAATAACCGAAAATCTCAAAGCACTAAATGTGGACAGACTCTACAGATGACATGTTGTTTGTGACTGGTGCTGCTGGGACTCACGGGCGTTCCTTCCCTCCGGTGACGATGAGCCCGTCCCTCAGCGTGGTGTACATGGTGAAGACCGGCCCGCTGTGGGCCTTGGCCACCACTCGGACCAGGAAGTGCTCCCTCCACACGTAGACGTCTCCATTTATTGCGCCGGTGAACGTCAGGTTGCTCTGGAGACGAATGCAGACTTAATACAGATTTACAGGTTTCATTTTGGAAGGCGGGAGCTGGATTTGACCTTACGGCGCCAAAGGCCACAGACAGCATGGTCTGCATGCGGCCGTCCTCCACCGAGCCGATCACGCCTTTCTTGTACACCAGTGAGCCTCCGACCAGAGTCCAGAACTTGATGTGTTTGATCCCCACCGACACAAACTGGGTGTCGGAGTCCGGTCTGAACTCCACCACGAAGATGCGCTCAGCGTGGCCTCCTTTACAGGTCACCTTGGTGCCTGTCAGAGAGAGGTCAAAGGTCACATTCTGAGACAATACGACACACTACGGGCATGGAGGCTCCTCAGGTTGGTCCTGATGCTCTGATGCTCTGAGCGCGGCGTTTACGTTCATCTCATCGCGTCTGTGCAGAGACTTTTCTTTCTTTGGCCGTTAAAATAAAATGAATTGAGTTGAATTTGTGACTCTGTGTTTATGGATTATAGATCACATTCCCAGTTTGTGACTTCCTCTCACTTAATGCCATCTAAAGCAAAGCTTCACCACCCTAGAAGGTTGTGAGTGACGCTGAATGGACACCCAGTATCCTGGTGGTGGCCCACTGTACTGTATACAGATGGTCATATGGAAGGGCTCGGTACCTTCTTGCCACCTCCACACTGTGATGGTGTGCTCGGGCTCCACCCCCACGGACAGCAGCAGCTTTCCTGTGGCGCTGAAGTTGACGTAGCCGACGCCTTTGGCGTGGGAGCAGCGGAGGATGGACAGCGTCTGCTTGGTCATGGCGTCCCAGACGTGGATGGAAGGAGCGAGGCCTGGTGGAGTCAAAGAGTAACTGAGGAGCCGCAAAACCTTGGCCAAAACGCCACCAACTGTGTAAGGAGCCAAGGAGCCAAGGAGCCAAGGAGCTACGGTACCACCCACGTGCACACACAGACCCCTAGTGGTGTCCAAGCACCTGCCCGTTTGCCCTGGATGAGAAAAGTGCCCCTTCTGCTGGAGCACAATCTTTTCTTCGGTCAAGGTTGCTGGTGCAACTGCTGGTTATTACTTACAGCTTACAGCTGTTGACCAGTCATGTGTTTGTCCGGCCTGTTTGAGCGTCGTTGAGCATTAACTTTTAAAAGTGCTACATGAGAAACGGTGTCATTGAACACGTGAGCTGCATCCTAGACCTTGTAAAGCCATAAAACTACGTCGTTAAGACCGTAAGGACGCTGAGCAACCACCGGACCAAAGGTTCCAACGCAACGAGGAACCACGGACCAGAGCCAATGCACGAGGAACCGAGGAACCTGAGATGAACGGCATCAAGGAGCAGAGGATGTGGAAGCAACCTACAGGGCACAAAGCTTCTTTGCAGACAGGATCCTAAGGAACCTAAGGAATCAAGGATGTAAGGTAGTAAGGGAACCACAGAAACAAAAAATGGAAACACAGAGATGTGGAATTGAGGAGATGATGAAGGAATGAAAAGCCATGCAAATAAGGAACAAAGGGTTGAAGAGGCAAGGAACCTGGAAAGAGAGGAAACCAGAGGCAGTGACGAGCGAGTGAAGATACGTCACGTATTAACATCCGTGATCACAGAGGAACCCTTTCTCTGAAGACTGAAGACGAGTGGATCAGCTGATCTTCTGCTCTCTACCTTTAGACACTTTGGTCTCTTCCACAAAGCAGCTCTGCTTCACCTTTAAACTACACTGTAAGCATCTCAGATCTCAGTCAGTCCTCTTCAACTTCTATTCCATTCATCCAGTTCTTCTCCAAAATGTGGCCGGACCTTTTCCACCTCCCCTCTATCCAGAGTAAAGGAGGATGTTCACGTCCTGTGAGATCACGGCTGAGAGGTTCAGAAGTGAAATCAGTACAGACACCACATACGGTAAGAAACCATCACCGAAGTCTCAGTAGCTTCTAAACTCTACAATAATTATAATAAATAACCATCAACAGGCACAACAATGGAGTCAAATGTTGATACTCAATCCAAGATACTTGTGTCTTTCATCTAGATAAGAGCTCAAAGTCTGCTTTAGTGTGAATGGGTTTCTTCTAAGCCGGTGGACCTGGTCCCTGAGGAGAAACACCTGAGCTGGATCCTTCAGCCGCTACACCTGACAAACACAACACAAGGTGTGTGGGTGACAGCAGACTTACCTGGCAGGTCAGCCGTGTCACCTGGAGATGAGGTGAGGTGACAATGAGGAAGCAGTGGAGAGAAAAGAAGCGCAATTGGGGAAAAAAAGCAGTCTGATCACGTGAGAAGAACACGGCTGTTGTGTGTATGAGCCGTGAGGCCGTCATGCTGATGTCATGTGACTGGCTTTACGAGGGGCCGATGATGTCATGTCAGATTTATCACAGTGGAGTTTGCATCTTGGAGCTCGTGTGTCCTTATCTGTTGTTGTTGTTGTTGTTGTTGTTGTTTTCTCACTCACCGATCTGTCCCGTGGCGACGACGTTTTGGTACTTTGGGTGTTGATTGACGGTCAGGCAGAGGATGTCGTCGGTGTGCTCCAGGTAGAAACTCTGGCTTCCTGTCGGGACAGGAAGCAGGTGGTGTGATGTCATCATCACGAGCATCACTCACCATCAGCGGGCCGCGGCGAGGGCTGCACTGACCCGCGGACAGGTTCTGCAGGACCACGGCAGCAGCTGTGTGGAAGATGATGTCGGCTCCGTCGTTGAGGTAGTGCAGGTTGTTGCGACAGTCGAAGCCTCTGTAGCCGAAAACGTGCTCCAGCACCAACTCCTGAAAACCAGACGGGATCAGCTGTTGAAGTGACGTCACATGTGGAGCCCGCGGCGTAGACGGGGTTCGGACTGACCTCCACCACCTTCTTCTTCTTGGTCACATTGTTCTTAAGCAGCTTGTCAGGCAGCGGAGCCGCTCGACTCACAGGAGGCCTGGATGGGAAACCGGGTCAGAACCCGTTCAGATAGAGGAGAGTGTGTGTGTGTGTGTGTGTGCAAGCACCTCTCTTCCACAGGAAGCTCTTTGAGCTGCAGGTGAGGTCTGGTTCCTGACATGTTCCTGATGCTGGCAGAGTAGATCTTGGTGACGTAGTCCACCACCTTCTCGCGGGCCACATCGCTGTCGTACCCTGAAAACACACGACGTGAGTCAAACATTCTGACTTTTGGTCACTGAGGAGACACTTGGTCAGTCGTCACCTCCGTCCTCCTCTGTGTCGTCGTCCGACTCCTCGCTGTCCACGGCTTTGCTCTCTTTGTGACCCGCCGGCTCTCGGGTCCAGATCATCAGCGCCGTGTCGGCGCCGCCCACCGACAGCAGCACGCCGTCGTCGTTGGACCAGCGGACGTTGGTCACGTTGGTGCTGTGAGCCACGTACTTCTTAAACCGGGCAAACTGGCCCTGAGGGCGGAGGGGGGAGTTAGAGGGGACAACCTGAACCTTCAGGAACACCCGCCTCAACTTCCAACAACTTCCTGCTTCTGTCTGTGTCTAAACTCCGCCCCTTTTAAACCTCGGCACTTCCGGGCTTTTCGCCCGGTGCCCGCGGCGTCCCTCCGGCTCTCTTTGAGTCTCACCCTGGACGGGAAGCTGAACAGCTTGAGGAAGCCAAAGTCGTCTCCGGTGGCGAGCAGTTTGCGGTCTCTGGTGAGCGAAGTGGCGTGAACGCAGCTGAGCAGCGGCCATATTCCCTCGCAGGTCGGACCCAGAACGGACGTCCAGCTCGCCCAGTCCAGCTTCTCAAACTGGAGACACACAAGCAGCCGTGTTCATCTGCAGCAGGAGCCGTCCTGGTGGCGCCGAGTGAGCGCAGACTGACCTCCAGCAGGCTGATGTTCTGTTTGCGTCCTCGTGGGGCCTCAAAGAAGAGCTGCTCTTTGGCTCCGGTGTTCACCTGCAGCAGTTTACCTGAGAGAGAAACGGCGAGGAGACCAGAACTCTGCTAAATATTCAATAATAAAGCCAGTTTTAAAGATGAAATACCTAAGTTTAGGAGAAAAGAACCACAGAAGACCCAATTAAGTGATATGAATGTAGTTATTGTAAAGATGATAACCGAGCGAACAAGGACAGAGAAAGAGGACTAAGAGCAGAGATAAAACACATCAATATAAAATAAAGCAGCTCACATGAAAGCCAGAGAAATAAAGATGTGTTTTAACGTAGTAGTGTACAAAGATACTGGGCAATAATAAAACAGCTATTCTGTCAGGATATACAGTATATCAAGTGTCCGTTATGGTGGATTCTTTATTGTTTTTATTACTGTTCTTTATGGCTTATTGATTATGTAACTTGTCTGCACTTTAACTACGCTGCTATGGATCCTGTGTGAGTTCACAAACCCATGAATTTGTGGCGTCAAAGGCGGCGCCTGGAAAAATTTGGGTACACCTACATTTTGTGCTGGTGCACCTAAATAAAAAAGTAAGTGCAACCTGGCAAAAAGTTAGTCTGGAGCCCCGGATCTGTTTTCTTCTGATCTCATCACTTTTCATATCATCTCATTTCTTATCTCATCATATCTCCTCTCATCTCTTCCATGTTCAAACTATCTTCACCTCGAGAGTCCCAGTCGATGTGAGTGATGAAGCTCCCGGCTCCTTTACAGATGCCGACCCTCTTGCTGGTCAAGACATTGTAGATGTCCACAAAGGAGTCATGGGAGGCCACCGCCAGGTACTTTCCTGCATCTGAAATGCAACCAGCTGTCACTCATCACGGACGAACCAATACCCTTCCTCCACCTGCCTCCCACCTGCGTGCTGCCTACCTTGGGAGAAGCGGACGTCTGAGATGAGCTCTCTGCGGTGGTGGAAGGTCACCATGTCCTCCAGCGTGTCTGCATTCACCACCAGGAAGCTGCCGTCGTTCAGGCCCACTGCCAAAGCCTTACCGTCAGGGGAGAAGGCACAGCAGCGCCCACCTGACAGGTAACACACAGGTAACAAGCAGAGGTAACACACAGGTAACAGGCAGAGGTAACACACAGGTAACAAGCACAGGTAACACACAGGTAACAAGCACAGGTAACATACAGGTAACAAACAAGTAACAAGCACAGGTAACACACAGGTAACAAACAAGTAACAAGCACAGGTAACACACAGGTAACAAACAAGTAACAAGCACAGGTAACACACAGGTAACAAGCACAGGTAACAAGCACAGGTAACACACAGTTAACAAACAAGTAACAAGCACAGGTAACACACAGGTAACAAACAAGTAACAAGCACAGGTAACAAACAAGTAACACGCACAGGTAACACACAGGTAACAAGCACAGGTAACAAACAAGTAACAAGCACAGGTAACACACAGGTAACAAACAAGTAACAAGCACAGGTAACAAGCACAGGTAACACACAGGTAACAAACAAGTAACAAGCACAGGTAACACACAGGTAACAAGCACAGGTAACACACAGGTAACAAACAGGTAACAAAGAGGTAACAAGCACAGGTAACACACAGGTAACAAGCACAGGTAACACACAGGTAACAAACAAGTAACAAGCACAGGTAACAAGCACAGGTAACACACAGGTAACAAACAAGTAACAAGCACAGGTAACACACGGGTAACAAACAAGTAACAAGCACAGGTAACAAACAGGTAACAAAGAGGTAACAAGCACAGGTAACAAACATGTACCAAGCAGAGGTAACACACAGGTAACAAGCACAGGTAACAAACAAGCAGAGGTAACACACAGGTAACAAGCACAGGTAACACACAGGTAACAAGCACAGGTAACACATAGGTAATATTATATATTGCTTGTGTGTATATTTCCTGTGTATGATACTGGTGTGTATATTACTTGTGTGTATATTACAGGTGTGTATATTACCTTGTGTGTATATTGTGTATATATTACCTGTGTGTGTATCACCTGTGTGTGTATATTACCTGTGTGTATATCACCTGTGTGTATATCACCTGTGTGTGTATATCACCTGTGTGCATATCACCTGTGTGTGTATCACCTGTGTGTATATCACCTGTGTGTATCTCACCTGTGTGTATCTTACCTGTGTGCATATTACATATGTGTGTATATAACCTGTGTGTGTATGACCTGTGTGTGTATATCACCTGTGTGTATCTTACCTGTGTGTATATTATCTGTGTGTGTATATCACCTGTGTGCATATTACCTGTGTGTGTATTACCTGTGTGTATATTACCTGTGTGTATCTTACCTGTGTGTATATTACCTGTGTGTATCTTACCTGTGTGCATATTACATATGTGTGTATATTACGGGTGTGTGTTACCTGTGTGCATATAACATATGTGTGTATATTACCTGTGTGTATATCACCTGTGTGCATATTACCTGTGTGTGTATATTACCTGTGTGTGTATTACCTGTGTGTGTATTACCTGTGTGTATCTTACCTGTGTGCATATTACATATGTGTGTATATTACCTGTGTGTGTATATTACCTGTGTGTGTATATTACCTGTGTGTATCTTACCTGTGTGCATATTACATATGTGTGTATATTACCTGTGTGTGTATATTACCTGTGTGTGTTAAACAGGCCGCTGTTCTCACCTTTCTTGAGTTTGCGGACAGCGACCATTCGGTGATTTGCTGACAGCTCCCAGATCCTCAGAGTTTTGTCGTCACTGACGGTGGCGCAGACAGGAAGTAGAGGATGAGCCGCCAAACCCCAAACCTCTCCCTCCATGTGACCCTGAACACAACACCATCATCTGCAGTCCGTGAAGGCATCCCAGATGACGTCCTCATTTCAGTATTTTAGTCAAAGTGATAAATGACTGTAATGTGATCAGATTACGTTAATCATTCTGATTTAACACCCATGAGTTTGATTATTGATCTGTTGTTAACTCTTAAACAGGAGATCAGGTGACCAGGGGGTCGGGTGACCAGGTGACCAGGGGGTCGGGTGACCAGGTGACCAGGTGGTCAGGGGGTCGGGTGACCAGGTGACCAGGTGATCAGGTGGTCAGGGGGTCGGGTGACCAGGTGACCAGGTGACCAGGTGGTCAGGGGGTCGGGTGACCAGGTGAGATGAATCAGTCTCACCTGAACCAGCAGCGTCATCGGTCCGCTCTTGTCGATCTCGAGGATTTCTCCGTTCTTGGTCCCCAGCAGGATGTGACCGTGACCCAATGTGATGGCTCTGATGGACGGGTTGTCCTCCAGCAGCAGACCTGATCCACACCAACATTTTAAAACACATTCTTTTATATATGTTTATCGTGAGCGTCTTTCTGCTGCATCACAATCACACAATCTCTACAGTGTTCTGGTTCCACTGGGTTGGACTGGGACAGGGAACTCTGGAGGTTGCTGTCTGAATGCTGGGCGGATCATTTGGGGTCTGAACATTCTGAGGACCATGAAGGCTAAAGGTCAACTGGCTGACCTTTAGAGGACGGAGACAGAGCGGCCCTCTTGATGGCGTACGTCTTCAGACACCTCTCGAACATGTCGTCCCAGAGCTCCACCACGCCGTCCTTCCCCCCGGTCACAAAGCCCTGCGGAGAGAGAACGACACCTTCCTCATCATCATCATCATCATCATCAGCCCAGGTCGTGTTTTAACAATTTTAATTATATGGTAACGATTCCCAGGGTTCCTATGTGCCCCAGGCCCTCCAGGCCCTCCAGGTGTCCCAGGTAGCCCCAGATAGCCCAGGGCTTCCAAGGTGTGTCACCTTGTCCAGGGAGCACATGGCGAACACCGGTCCGTCATGGGCCTTGATGGTCTTGATGAGTGTGGTGTCCCTCCAGATGTAGACATCTCCGTTTGTTGCTCCGGAGAAGACCAGGTCCTCCGACCGACCGTAACACGCCGACATCATCGTCTCCTGCTTCCCCAGGTTCCCGAAAATCCCCCGTTTGAAGGTCAGGCCGCCGCCTGCGGGACGAGACCAGAACAGTTTCTATTAATATTCCAAGTGAATCGAATATATTTTCTCCAGGACGAAGACGAGACTAAAATGTAGTTCAGAAAATAATTTATTTTAGTGCTGAGGATGGAGATACTCGGGATACGCAATAATAATGACACTTTTGTTCATTCATTAATGCGCGTTAATGCAGTTTCTTTTAATATTATTATCGTTGCAATTTGTTGCTCAAAATTGTTTTGTATCATAGATTATATTGTGTTTACTTATTCATATCAATAGAGCAGTTAAGGACAGAAACCAGCTGATATGTTGAATTGAATGTGATATACGGTCTGAATCGACGCTTTTACTGTGTGATGTTGCTGATGTAACCACGTCACCGCGTGAGCAGGAAGTAACGTGTAAGCGAGAGCCGGAGAATAAGCGCCGTGGACATAAATCACACTGAGTTCGGTCTGCTGTTTGAACCCACGGGACACAAACACTACAGGAGGAAGGAAGCAGTGGATCTGGTTGGAGTCGGCACGGCACTTAATGACACTAAAAAGGGCTAAATGAATGCTACACTAGCTTAGCCTCGCTTAGCATTGTAGCTGCAAGCAAGACGGAACCGACTGATGATGAGGATGACCTCTGAACTCTGAAGTCTGACACACCCCCTGAGGACCAACCTGAATGTTGCCAGAACTTGATGTGCTTCATGCCGACAGTCACCAGCTTGTCCATCCTGAACGGGTTACTCTTCACCACAAAGGTTTTGTCCTTATGACCCCTGAAGGACAGAAGGTAACGTTATTCTAAACTGTATTATTGTTCATTCTGTCCTCATGACGTCATCGTAGTCTGTCCATCAGGAGACGGATCGTCCTCTGACGTCCTCACTGAGGTTTCTTTTTTCCTGCTGATGTGAAGGTTTGAGGACAGAGGATGTCTCATGTGTTCACACTGTAAAGCCCTCTGAGGATCATGTGTCATTAGTGATTTTGGGCGTTACAAAATAACAACACAACATGTTGGTCTCACTTCCTGTCGGCTCAGTATTTGCCTGTTTTTATCAAAGCAACAGGAGCCTATGGTGCATTGTTAGGATACTTGTATCCTAGTACTGAGTCCGTCCACGTCTCAGGCGCAGCACACGGTACAAGTCAGGTGAGCAGGTGTACCTGGCCTTCGCCAGCCTCTCGCCTTTCTTCCAGTCCCAGATGACGATGGAGTGAAATTCATCAATACCGACCGAGACCAAACTCTTCCCGTCCGCTGAGACACAGAGACATGAAGACACAGAGAGACAGAGACACAAAGATATCAAGAGAAATGGAGGGTTAGGGTTACGATAGACAGAGAGACTAGATGAAAGGGACAGAAGACAGTGATGGAGACATTAGAAGCTTCTTTAACACACACGAGTTCACCAGTGACTTGGTTCTATTCCACAGGTGCTGCTTTGGGAGAAGAAATTGTACTTTTTCAGTGTAAAATAGTGTTTTCAGAGAGCCGAGCTGATGACAGTTTGTGAATTAGGGCCTAAATAACGGTTTCTAGGTGGTGATGTTCTAGGAGGGTTAGGGTCACCATGGATGACCATCCAGGGATGCCAAGTGGTTGAGTGCGCAGTGAGCGTACCTGTGAACTCCAGGGCACACACTCCTCTGCTGTGGTGTCCCTTCAACAGAGACAGACATTTCAGAGTCTGAATGTCCCACACGTGGACGGCCGGGTCTCTGCCCACCTGAGCACACAGACAGCCAATCAGAGACGCTCCCAGCCGGCGGGACGCTGAGCTCCCGTCGGCCGCGCCCTACCTGTGCTGAGGCCACGTAGTCTTTGAGCGGGTGCACGGTGAGGCTGAGGATGTCGTCGTCATGGCCGAGGTAAAACCTCTGGCTGTGCTGCAGGCGGTTGTAGACGACGGCGACGGCGGCCACGTGGTAGACCACCTCCCCCGTCTGACTGTAGAAGAGGTTGTTACGGCAGTCGAAGCCCCGATACCTAAGAGACAGCACGACGAAACAAAGTCATCGGGGTTTACTTACTGGATTCTGTGGCTTTAGATCGGATAGTTTACCCGTGAACAAACTGCAGGCGAAGCCCCTCCTCCGGGGCTTTCTGCCGCTTCAGGGAACCAATCAGCTTGTTCCTCAGCTGGGGCAGGTCCTCCTTATACACCTGCAGACAGACACAGGTGAGTCACACGGGCAGACAGGCGCTTTGCAGATTGTCGCTGGGTTGTTTGTTGGGGTCACCTGACGCTCGTAGCTGGTCTGAGCTTCCTGCTCGATGTCCGAGTCGAGCTCTGGGACGTCCGACACGTCAGAGTCAGACTCCCCGCTGTTGGAGTCGGCGTAACCCTCTGAACACGCCACGAAAACACCGCAATGATTATACGGGTTAATTCACTGTAAGGGGGGATTTAGGGAAACCAAACCCCCCCCGAGTGTGACGATTATTACAGATTACAGAGACGATAACAATGTGGAATTAAGGCTCATCAATAGTCATCTTACAGTCTGGGCTAATTAATTAGGGATAACGGCATTAAGTCGTCCCGCCGAAGACTCTGAGTCCCCCAACACAAACGCAGCGGTGGTAAATGTTGGCGTTACCTTGGAGGAGGGGCTCCAGGACGCCGTTCATCACACCCTCGGGCAGGAACCTCCACTGGAAGACGGCGTGGTCGGCGCCGCCGGTGCTGATGACCCACTGCAGGTCGTTGGACCAACGGACATTTGTAACGTGGGCGGAGTGGCCGATGTACTTCTTGAATTTGGCGCCTGTATGAGGGGACACGACTCATGACTCAACTGGTGTGCGAGTACAAGGTGGGACTTCACTGCACTGGAGATCACTGCAGTGGCACTAGAATCCATAAGCAATCAAATCGCTCCACATTAAAACTATTTAACAGTATAAATAAGTTAGAACTCAAGAATTATTAGAGCCTCAAAGCAGAGACAGTTGAGTCCTGTTGAGTGAAGCCATGGTCGGCTCTTGGAGGGGCCACCTGTTGGGGGGAGTTTTCCTCTCCTGTGGTTCCTTTAGAAACACAGGATATCTACAGGGTTGTCATGGTTCCTGTTAATTGTATTGTTGTCCTCGAGGTTACATGTGTGACGAGGTGGGGGCGGTCGGCGACCACTGGATATCCCATATTGCTCTGCGGGGGAGTGAAGGCTTCTGGAGCACGGTGAATACGGCACGGAGGAGGCATTATGTGGACGAGGCAGCGGAGGTAAATGTTGGACCGGTTCGCTGGTTTGATGATACATAGTATACGTGTGCTGCCTTTCATGTCCGCTTTAACATGTTACAGTTCTACAGGTGTTCCCACTTACAAAGCATGTAGGAGTCTGTAATGTTTATCATAGTTACTCTTCAACTGTGAGTGACGGATCTAAAACAAATCCAGAAAATCACATTGTATGATTTTTAAATAATTATTTAGTTTATTGCATGACATAAGTATTTGATCACCTACCAACCAGTAAGAATTTGGGCTCTCACAGACCTGTTAGTTTGCCTGTTCTCCACTCATTACCTGTATTAACTGCACCTGTTTGAACTAGTTACCTGTATAAAAAGACACCTGTCCACAGAAAAGACCGCTGTCCACATACTCAAACAAACAGACTCCAACCTCTCCACAATGGCCAAGACCAGAGAGCTGTGTAAGGACATCAGGGATAGAATGGTGGATCTGCACAAGGCCGGGACGGACTACGGGACAACAAGCAAGCAGCTTGGTGAGAAGCCAACAATTAGAAAATGGAAGAAGTTCAAGATGACGTTAATCTCCCTCGGTCTGAGGCTCCACGCAAGATCTCGTGGGGCATCAATGATCATGAGGAGGGTGAGGGATCAGCCCAGAACTACATGGCAGGACCTGGTCAATGACCTGAAGAGAGCTGGGACCACCGTCTCAAAGAGAACCATTAGTGACACACTACACCGTCATGGATTAAAATCCTGGAGCGCACACAAGGTCCCCCTGCTCCAGCCAGCACATGTCCATGCCCGTCTAAGGTTTACCAATGACCATGTGGATGATCCAGAGGAGGTATGGGAGAAGGTCATGTGGTCTGATGAGACATAAATAGAGCTTTTTGGTCTACTCCACTCGCCGTGTTTGGATGAGGAAGAAGGATGAGTAGAACCCAAAGAACAGCATCCCAGCCGTGAAGCAAAGGAGACAGGACTTCTGCGTATTGGAGGGAGGATGGATGGGGCCATGTACCACGAGAACCTCCTTCCCTCAGTAAGTGCATTGAAGATGAGTTGTGGCTTTGTCTTCCAACATGACAACGACCCGTTCCACACAGCCAGGGCAACAACGGAGTGGCTCCGTAAGAAGCATCTCAAGGTCCTGGAGTGGCCTCGCCCGTCTCCAGACCCGAACCCAATAGAAACTCTTTGGAGGGAGCTGAAAGAACCTATGATAATAATTGACATAAAAGAATCGTATATGCTTTGTAAGTGGGAACACCTGCAAAATCGGCAGATATCAAATACTTGTTCCCCACTGTATGTTAGGGGGGTTCGAAGGAGCTGTTGCCCAGTTTCAGCCGCTTTAGGCAGGCTGTAAACGGCGATATTAGATCCGCCCATTCCCTTTTCTTTTTCTTAAATATTTAATTGTCTAAAAAAGTGTCTAGGTACTCCCCTTTCTTGACGCAGGGGAATCTGAAGAGTTTGAGGAGGCCAAGGTCGTCTCCAGTCACCAGCACGGCACTGCTGTAGTTGGCATCCACAGAGTTCACGTTGGTGACGTTGGAGTATTTGGGCCAGATGCCGTTCACCTCTGGACCGATGACGCCTGTCCATGTCATCCAGTGGATCCCCTTTGCCTCCTCTTTAGGAACCAGTTTCCCCACTGCAGGACACAGGAGGATGTCGAAGGGTCAGAATTTCTGGGTATCGGAGAGATACCAAAGGTCTAGACGGGTATGTCCTAAGTCATGTCCCGGTCTAGAGAGGTATGTCCCAAGTCAGGTCCTGGTCTAGAGAGGTATGTCCCAAGTCATGTCCCGGTCTAGAGAGGTATGTCCCAAGTCAGGTCCCGGTCTAGAAAGGTATGTCCCAAGTCAGGTCCCGGTCTAGAGAGGTATGTCCCAAGTCAGGTCCCGGTCTAGAGAGGTATGTCCCAAGTCAGGTCCCGGTCTAGAGAGGTATGTCCCAAGTCAGGTCCCGGTCTAGAGAGGTATGTCCCAAGTCAGGTCCCGGTCTAGAGAGGTATGTCCCAAGTCTGGTCCCGGTCTAGACGGGTAGTCCAAGTCAGGTCCCAGTCTAGACGGGTATGTCCCAAGTCAGTCCAGTCTAGAGAGGTATGTCCTGAATGTTGATGGATGAGTCTTAGATCAGTCTTGGGAAGGCCCACAGTTCTTGAACCAATCTTGGATGCTATCAAAGAAAACACTGTCTATCAGTGAAATGGAGCCTCAGAGTCAGAAGGTACCTGGCATCCTGTAGAAGAGCCGCTCTCCAGCGCCGTCATTGGTCTGCAGGAAGCGGCTATCCACTGACCAGTCCAGGTGGGTGATGAAGGAGGCGGAACGGCTGCACTCGCCCACCTTCTTGTAACGCTGAGCGACGGCGTAGACGTCCACCATCCCATCGTTTGATCCCACCGCCAGGAAGGAACCATCGGGTGAAAACTTCAGCTCATGTATTACTTCCTTCCTGTCCTTGATGTGCACAACCTCTGTCATGTCCCTGAAGGAAAGAAGGATTGTTACCTCGAGTTCCTGAGCAAATGGAATCAACCTGAATGAATTGTAATGTTGTGAGCTTAGCACTGTTTCCAAACGATGTATCCTAGTGAGCAACAGGATGTGAGGAGCAACCTACCTCCTGTATTAACTGTTAAATTCATCTACTTTCAGGCCAACCTGCCGTTGTAGCTGTTTGGTCAGTGACAAACATCCATGGTGTTACCCCCTGCTGTGAAGTGGCTAGATGTACCAGTTCAAGACCATATGTGAGGTCACCTGACACGCAGCACGGTGAATGATCCGTCCTTCATGCCCAGAGCCAGCTGAGAGCCGTCATTGTTGAATGAAACGCTACGGACAGATTCCTCCATGTTACAGCGAGCCAGCAGTGTGTGGTCGGGAAGACTCCACAGCCTGAGAGACAGACGGGCGAGAGACACACGGGTGAGAGCTGATCTCAGAGGACAAGCGGTCCGGCAGTATCGGCGGTTTGGACCCACCTGACGGAGCGGTCGTCGCTGCCTGTGACAGCCACCGGTTGTTTGGGGTGCAGGTCTAGTGACCACAGCTCACCCTCGCTGTGACCCTGCATCAGCAGCACCGGCTTGTCGCGCTCTCGCACCATCACTTCAAAGATCTCGCTGTCCTGCGTCCCCGCCAGGATCCGGTCGGCCTTCCAGCAAACGCTGCGGATGGACAAACCTGAAACGAGGAGCACGGCGGACTGAGACAGGAAAGCACACCCAACTGTGATGGAGCAACATGACTGCCGTGTGAATACCGTGGATGAGCCGGGGGCGGAGCCTGTAGGGAATCTCCCACAGCTCAGCGACCAATGGTGTCGTTTCATAACATAATAGTCAGCGACAGATTTTTTGCGTTGATTGGTTTGGATCCGTCTCACTACATTTCATTAGAGACATTTCTGCATTACTCATCGGCAGAAGTTGCATGATATTCTTTAAAAACTGACGTGTCCTTTACACCTTTGTAGCCTTGCTCCGCCTCCCTCAGGTCGATCTTGGTGATGGGTTTGAAGTCAACGTCCCACAGGCGGATGCATCCGTCTCGTCCTCCCGTGGCGAATCCTTCCTCACAGGAGTGCATGCTGAAGATCCCCGCCTGGACAACGCGGGACACGGAAACAAGTATTCCATCAGCCGCTGCCACCGTGTCCCAAACCAATGGATTACGCGTCAACATTCTCAGAACACAATGCTGAAACCGGGTGACAGATTAAAGACAACAAGTGAAGCGCCGATCTGTCGACAATGAATCCAGAACCAAGACGGATGTGCTTGACTTCTTTTTAGCTTTTGATTCCTTCTCAGGGACTATTTATTCATGGATTGAGAATCCGTCCGTGTGCTGAGATGAATCTCTTCTGCTCGTTCTGATCACCAAACACCACCGCGACTCGGACTAGCTCTTCTTGCCGTTGTTCTACTTTGTAGCTTTACACTACTTTTGTGATGCAGAGGAGTAATCCAAGAGGCGAGAGGAGGAAGAGAAGTGTCCTCACCCCGTGTGCAGCCTGGACGGTCCTGATCAGAGTGACTCCTCTCCACACGTACACGTCTCCGTTCAGAGCGCCGGAGTAGGTCAGCTCCTCTTTGGCCGTGGAGACACACAGGATGGTCTGCAGGTCGCCCGCCTTCCCGAACACGCCTCTCTTTGGAGTCAGAGCGTTCCCACACAGAGTCCAGAACTGCAGACAGAGGATCGTTTCACACTCAACTTGTTAGTCTGGTTGTTTCTAATAAAACAGACTGTTTTCTATCACACCCGATCATTTACTTTTATATACACAACCTACATACGCACACACATCTGCATCTACAAGTACACAACCACAGCGACCAGAGAGAATACAAAGAGACACACGGTGACCACAAAGAGACACACGGTGACCACAAAGAGACACACAGTGACTACAAAGAGACACACGGTGACTACAAAGAGACACACGGTGACCACAAAGAGACACACAGTGACTACAAAGAGACACACGGTGACCACAAAGAGACACACGGTGACCACAAAGAGACACACGGTGACTACAAAGGTACTCACGAGTGACTTCATAAGAGTCTCACGGGTACCTCAAAAGAGTCTCACGGTGACTACAAAGACTCACATGATGACTACAAAGAGACACACGGTGACTTGTGGAGACACACGGTGTCCACAAAGAGACACACGGTGACTACAAAGAGACACACGGTGACTACAAAGAGACACACGGTGACCACAAAGAGACACACGGTGACCACAAAGAGACACACGGTGACTACAAAGAGACACACAGTGACCACAAAGAGACACACAGTGACTACAAAGAGACACACGGTGACTATAAAGAGACACACAGTGACCACAAAGAGACACACAGTGACTACAAAGAGACACACGGTGACTATAAAGAGACACACGGTGACCACAAAGAGACACACGGTGACTATAAAGAGACACACGGTGACTATAAAGAGACACACGGTGACTATAAAGAGACACACGGTGACCACAAAGAGACACACGGTGACTACAAAGAGACACACGGTGACTACAAAGAGACACACAGTGACTATAAAGAGACACACGGTGACCACAAAGAGACACACAGTGACTACAAAGAGACACACGGTGACTATAAAGAGACACACGGTGACTACAAAGAGACACACAGTGACTACATCTGCATCTACAAGTACACAACCACCTACATGCACACACACATCTGCATCTACAAGTACACAACCATCTAGACATTTTGTAAGCAGTAAATATATTAAATGAAATAAATAACTAAAGTAAGATCTAAAGATCCCAAAATGAAAGGAAACAGAAAGGTTGACATTCGTATCTAAGTAGGGTCTGGATGCTGGTATTGTAAGTGGCATCAAACAGCAATTCCCAAATATCTAAATCCTTTTTAGACCACTGCTGTGTTATTCTTTAGGTTCATTATATTTACTGTTATTTGTATGAACACTGCTTCATAGCATTTCTTCAAATAATAATCAAGCACTTGGAAACACAAACAACTCAGCAAGTGTGAAATCATGAAATGCGTTGAAATGATGCAGCAGGTGTGTCTCTGTCTCACTTTGATGTGTTTGACTCCACAGCTCACCAGCCGGCTGGACTGAAACGGATCCCAGGCCACGTCAAAGATCTACAGGAGGAAAGGAGACTTTCTAGAAGTTACTGAAGGTGCCTGAAATGTAAGAATATTCAGGTGTGTGTTTGTTGGGTTTCACCTACAAACAGCTGAAAATAGAGCCAGCGTTAATGGACCAAGAGTCCTACCCTGTCTGAGTGTCCGGTTGCCATGGCGATGACTCGTCCTCTCCTCCAATCCCAAACACACAATGTGTTTTTTGCGTCCAAACCAACAGACACAATCCGCTAAAACAGAAACAAGGAACAAATAGAATTTTTACATAGTGGAGTTTATATATACTATATTTTTCCCACTTAGTGTCTCTATATGTCAAATGTACATAAACAAGGCGGATGAACACTGACTCATCAAACACAAGGGTGAGGATGAAGAAGATGACCTGGGGTCACTTTACGTTACTAACAATATGAACGGCTGAATGTAAATGTTGGTTAACTGTAAACTGCTTATTGCTTGTAGACGTGGTCAGTGAGTCCTGACCTGTCCGTCAGAGTCGAAAGCCAGACAGGCCACTCCGTGTGTATGGACGTCCCTCAGGATGGACACGGTCTGCATGGAGTAGGTGTCCCAGATACAGATGAATGGGTCTTTACCCACCTGACCCGTCGCCACCTGGACCTTATCTGGATGGATCGCCAGACTGAGAGAGACAGACAGCCAGAGACAGAGACAGAGTGAGACAGTCTTACGTCTTAAATGCATTACAAAGAGACACACGGTGACTACAAAGAGACACACAGTGACCACAGACATCAGGACCGCAGAGAGTCTTCACATCTTCAGACTCTACCTCCACTAAAAAGACTAACACATTAATTCAATTCAATTAATTTTATTTTCTATAGCCCAAAATGCCAGATGAGGGCTTTACAGTCAGTACACATGCGACATCCTCTGTCCTGAAACCTTCACATCAGCAGGAAAAAGTCTTCATGGGGAGAAAAGGGAAGAAACGTCAGTGAGGACGTCAGAGGAGGATCCGTCTCCTGATGGACAGACTACGATGGATTCATGTTGGATATAATGAATGGATAGACCTCATAACTGTGGGATGTCTAGTATAAATTAATGGATGGTCTGATTAGTGGACAGAACCTCTGTGTCTTCACTAAAAATACATTTCACCTCACCTGATGATGTCATCGTTGTGTCCCAAGTAGAACTTCTGGGTGTGTTCTCGGGTGTTGTAGACCACACCCACTCCAGCCACGAAGTAAACCACCTCCTTCCCGGCGGTGTAGTACAGGTTGTTACGGCATTGGTGTCCTCGGTAACCGTGGATCCATTCCAGCCTCAGCTGGCAGCGCGGCGCCGTCTTGTCCGACATGGAGGCTTCAGACAGAGACTCAAGGTTAAAGATCCACCAGGTTCAAAATGTTCTCGTCTTCTGGGCTCAAACCAGGTAGTTTGATAGGATGCGGGCGGTCTCCTCGTAGCGGTATCTACGAGGAATCCTTTCCATGCTGCTGGGAGCAGTAGTCCACCATTGTCGGCCCTTTAACAGACAACTACACTTTCAATAACTCCAACCTGCGGCCCCGCTAGCTCGCGTTAGCACGATGAAGGACTCCAGAGGTCGTCAGGGTCCAAAGAAACTAAACGTTGGAGGTTTAACACTGATTGATCGGGAAACGGCGGATTGTCCTATTGATCACGTGACAATCATCACAGGAGAACATCTAAACAGGGTTACGTGATGACGTCATAGTAGTGATGTAGTTGATGAACTAATGATGTTGGTGCTTCTGTCACAGCTGGAGACTTTATAGTGACTCATCGTTTGGCTTTAGGGTTCTGATTGTATTCTTTTTAATTCAAGTGTAAAAAACGTTCTCAGGATGTTCCGTTAGATTCTGAAGTCATCGCTGATTTAGTTTCAAAGTAACATCTGAAACTATAAATACTGTAGTAAATTGGTTTGTAGATGTTGTGGAATCGTTGCTCTGTGGTTCTTTCAGTGACCCTAGGACCTAAATCAGGTACTTTACTAGCCCTTCTTCAGGGTTCCTCACAGGTTCTTTCAGTCTGACTAGAACCTAAATCAGGGTTCTTTACGAACTCTTCCCCAGGGTTCCTCACAGGTTCTTTCAGTGAGGCTAGAACCTAAATCAGGGTTATTTAAGACCTCCTCCCCATGGTTCCTCACAGGTTCTTTCAGTGAGGCTAGAACCTAAATCAGGGTTCTTTACGACCTCCTCCCCATGGTTCCTCACGGGTTCTTTCAGTGAGGCTAGAACCTAAATCAGGGTTCTTTACGACCTCCTCCCCATGGTTCCTCACGGGTTCTTTCAGTGAGACTAGAACCTAAATCAGGGTTCTCTAATAGCTGTTCTCGAGGGTTCCTTTGAGGTTCTTTCAGTCAGATTACAGTGTTCCTTGGGGAACGCTTGTCTGGAAACGTTTAAAGAACCATAGAACCGGAACACCGGGATGGTGTCTGAAGGTTACCGGAGAATGTCACTCACAACGGTGAATGAATCTAATATGATGTGTCCGCTAACGCCGTTAAAACAGCACGAGGTCGTTAGAATAACCGTCCTATCTAACGTCGCTCCGTGAGAAGATGAAACAAGAGGAAATCCCGCCGCCGTCTGTCGCCGGTGAAGAACCGGAGATTAAAGCGCCGATTTATCTCCGTGAGTCCGCATCCAGACCACCAGACACCGACCGCTGCTGCTCCTTCAGGGCGGGGGAGGGACGCCTCAAACCGGCGGGGCCCGGCTCACGACGAGACCGGAAAAACATCCAAATACGGTGGAGGAAAAGTCGGGATATTAACGGGAAACCCGGGGATCACCGACGGCGTCAGAACCAGAATGATAAACACCGACACGTCCGGTTGAGATTATAAGAATAAAGTACTCACTCAGTTTCGGGAGTAAAAAGCGGTTTTTAGTTATAAAAAGTAAATACTAATCGATTGGATGTTTATTATACAAAAATGTTGTATAATTGTCATGTATAAATTACACGTAATGTGTAATTGTTGGAACGAATACCATGGCGGTCGTTGCGTTTAAAATCACTTTTATTTTGAAACCCGATAAACCGGTTTCCGGTATTTTTCATGCTAATCTCCGCGAGCTTCCCGCCTTCAGCAGTGCGTCGCAGGTCCGTGCTGGTGGATCAGGCTCAGCAGCCCGCGGTGCACCTTGGGAGTTGTAGTTTTCTAAGCAGCATGTTTTACTGTGAACTAGTCTGATTACTTTACACTGCTGTGATTATAAATCTCTCATATTAATACAATTTCAGAATCATCTTTATACATTGAGGGTATTTCACTTTACTATACTTTATCATTTTAACTTTAATATTTTACTTAAGTCACTGTCCTCATGTTTTAAAGGTTGAGTATTGAACCCTGAGAACCCAGATAACCCTCCAGATCTTTAATGGTTACGAGATCCTTCTGGAACCCTGAGGACTCTGGCAAGGCTCTAGAACCCTGGGAACCCTGAGAACCTTCCAGATCCCTAAGTGCTATGAGAACCCTCCTGAGCACTGAGGCCTCCGACTACCCTCAAGGACCCTGGGAACTATAATGATGCCATCATTTTTTATTGGATGTGACGTGGCACAGGGTCGAGAGGGTGCGCTGGGATCCACAAGGTTGGCGTTTCGAGCCCCAGCTGCCCCAAACTAACCCCGGATTGCTCCCCGGGCAAAACATGTACATGTAAGTCGCTTTGGATAAAGGCATCAGCTAAATGACCTGTTCCTGTTCAAGCTCCACAGCACCAGCTCTGTGAGCAGAAGAAACACAACACCCCTCCCCTTTTATCCGATTAGTCTGGATCCTGAGACAAAGGACCAGGGCAGAAGTGTCCATAAAGGATCTTAAATCCCTAATGGCCACAAGAACCCTCCAGAACCCCGACAACCCTCAACCAGGCTGGATAGTGGCAAATAAAACAGCAGGAAACATAAAGTTTAAAAGCTTTAATGACATCACACATATTTGACAGAGAGAAGCTTTCAGGGCTACAGGTGCAGGTTCATACATGAGAAAAGCCTTTATGGTGGGTTTAAATATTCTTCTTCTTCTTCATTCCTATAGATGGAGTAGTGATTGTGCAGAGTTAACTTCCATACATGTTGGGTGCAATAGATACGCAGCGACGTCTACAAGCTAACATTGAGCTTCTTCATCTGGAACGTGGTGGAACCACAGAGAAACATGAGCGGCTTGGAGTTTCAGGAGAAGCATGCAGGACGTCTATAAGCTCCTCCCCCAAGCTGATCGGAGGATTTCAACGACTCAAAGGGAAATCAATAAAAAGCTAAAATGCACTATTGGTCCAATTCCTCAACGGTGGAGGAAGAACGCAGCCCGTCTCTGAGGACCTCATCTCAGAACTGAAGACTGGACTCAGAACATCTCAGAAGTACAAAAAAATAACAAAAGTAGAACTCAAAGGGAAGTGTTTGAGGTTCCTGATGACATCACAAAGAAGGCGGAGTTAGTGTAGGCGTTAATCGCCGTTAGAACGGCGAACATCACAACCAGTGACACATCGAGTGAAGGGAACCCGATAAGCCGGCGTCTCAAACGGAAGGACGAGAATCACACTGGAAATATAAAAACAGAAAAGCTAAACAGCTGATGGGACACTTTGGTGAAACCGTCCCGCTGCGCCTGTGATCTCCATCATTGGCTGCTCACTGGTGACGTCACCAGCAACACAGGTTTGTTTGAATGAATAAACTTGAATCAGAAGTTCTGTTGAATCGTTTTAAGAGGACATTTAGTGGATGAGCGGGTCTGACTGCGACAGGGAACACCAGGCTCAACAAGGTTCTCCTCGTGGCGTCCTTCATGGAGTCTGATGGCAGCTGGAATCTGGACCCGCGCTCTGATCTGCTTCGCCCCCCCGGCCCCCCATCAGAGCGCGGGTCGGGATTCCACCGGCCCGCGTTCAGCAGAGGAGGCGGTTGGTCCTCTACGCTTTCTTCTTGCTGAACAGGCTGAAGCGCTTCTCCTTGTCCTTGTCCTTGTCCTTCTCTCTCTTGCCGGGACTCGAGTCGCCGCCGGCCGGCAGTGTCTGAGCGCGGCCCGACGCCGGGGTGCCGGGACCGCTGCCCGCCGGGTCAGGCCGGTCGCCGCCGGCGTTCAGGATGGCCTGGATCCAGGTGCTCATTTCCTCCTGCAGGGGGCAACACGGGTAGTTACTTTAAATAGATATATATATATATATATATATATATATACATATATATATACATATATATATATATATATATATACACACACACACACATTAGTGTTATCAACATAAACACATGTATCTATGCAGTTAATGTGACCGAGATTAATGCAAAATATTCTAGTTATCGTGCGTTCGTTTACATTACAGGTCATTTAGCTGACGCTTTTACCCAGGGGGGCAATTAGGGGTCTGGTGTCTTGCTCAGGGACACTTCAACATGGGACATGATGTAGCCGGGGCTCCAACCGCCAACCTTGCTGTTCCCAGCGCTCCCTCTCTACCCAATGCGCCACGTCGACCCCGTTTACCCCGTCCCAGAAGTAGGGGGAAGGGGGGCGGAGCAAACGGACCACTTAAAGCACTGCTATGCTAAGCTAGCCGCCAGGCTACTTCCATCTCAACATCCAACGTTAGCGTCTGCGGAGGACGGCGTGTCCCTAAAGGACCGCGGTTAGAAAACGTCCTGCTAACTGGGGGCAGATTGTTGCACGTTAAATGATGGAGAGTTGAGAGCAAAGAGTCACTAGTTCAACGTGTTCCACCTCCAAGATGATCAAATGTGTTTAAACTACTGAAGAAGAAGAACTGAGGAATCGTCCTCGTGTCAAACAGAAGAAGAACTGAGGAGACCCGAGTGGCAAACGGGCCCCTTCTGCTTGTTCTGAACTCACTTCATCTTTGGCTTGAAACAGAAACTCGTTTCCATCCGTCGCCCTGAAACAGAGGAGAAGGAGAGCCGGAATAAAAGGGGCAGATGACGCGCCGTGACCTGCATGAGGTCGGAGGTCACTTACCGGAGTTTGAAGACGTGTTTCTTCTTCTTGTACTCGGAGGCTACGTCGCACGAGGCCTCCCTCAGGCTGACGGGGGCCTGGCTGTGGTAGTGGGCTCCCTGGGTGGCGGCCTTGCTGTCTTTGTAGAAGCCCAGCTCGTGGTTGGTGATGACGCAGAACACGTGGTGCCACGACCTGCCAATCATAGAGCAGCGGGGTCAGGGGTCGCAGGGCTAGAGGGTGGAGGTTCAGAGGTTACGGTCGTCTTGGGGTTACCTGTTGGAGGCCTTTTTGTTGGGGGCCTCCCACTCGTGCTTGCGGTGCAGGAGACCCTCCAGCTGAGGGCGGGGGTCCTGGTCTTTGGGGGGTAGCGTGGAGGACTGGCTGGTCTTACTCTTCCTGCCAGAGGTCGGTGAGGTTCCAGGACTCGGCTCCTTGGAGCTCCGCTCGCAGACACCGTTCAGCAGATCTCCTTTTTCCCCCCCGTCCTGAGGGGACAGACAGGCGTCAATCAACTCACCTGCAGGATGGCAGTCAGGAGGCGGAGCTTCACTCACAGCCACAACAAACACAGCAGCTTACTAAAGCTGTACATTTGAATATACATTCTGATAGTTGCTATAAACAACTAGTAGAATGTGAAAATTAATATTCGAATGTATAAAAAAAAGAAAAAACAGCAGCGGTGCAACTGTCTGCTTGGCGGCGGCGGCGGCGCCTGAACAGATTACAGGAATGAAATAGAGCAGATCAGCTGCAGCTTCCTGCACTGCTGCTGATGATTTGCCGTTTAATGCCAAGAAAACGTTCCTGGTTTACAGCTCAGCTCGGAGGGTCGAGCTGTCGGTTGGTTTTACTGTCGTGGCCATTAGTTCATTGACTTATTTTTGTTTTAAAGACGTTTAACCTTAAATAAATGACCTGTACAAGTAGTTATGTCTTGCTGTATACACTCTGACAGCTGAATGGAACGTCGTCACCTGATCGGCGTCTCAGTGAACCTGAAGCGATCAGCTGATCCACTGATCGATCACAGAAAACATGTGGAAAGAGTCAAAGCTCATCAGAGTACTGACCCGGGGAGAGTCCTGGTCTGATGGGAGGCCGTTCTGAGTGATAAGGCCGCTGAGGACACACAAACGCAGCTGGTGAACGAGTGAATGAACAAATGATAGAATGAGTCAACGAGTGAACGAATGGACCTCACCTGTGCTGCTGAGGCTCCTCCTCCAGCACCACAACAGGTTCTGGAGATGGTGGCCTCCTCATTCTCTCCTCCTCCTCCTGCAGCCTCCTCACCTCCAGCAGCTCCAGCTGGAAGACAGACAGACCAACACTTAGCTGTGATTGGCTGGAGGCCTTCAGCCCAGGAGTCAGGATCCAGGAGACAGTTATTGCCATGATGTGTCAGACATACAAGGAATCTGACTTGGCGGTTGGTGCGTAACAGCAGACAGTACGACAAAGGACGACAGGATAAAATGAAATATAGTGCTATGGGTTAGTTTAAAAATAAAGGAATAAAAGCTAAAAGTTAGATAGTTAAACATGTTTCACCGTGGTCAGCCTCTCCAGAGCAGAGAACCGCTCCTCCCAGGTGGCAGCCGACTTCTCGAAGGCCTCGTGGCGTTTGATGAGCTTCTCCACATCGTCCACGCTCTGACCCATCTCTCTACCGGACAGGTAGGGCTCCTGACCCAGCAGCCAGGCCTCGGCAACACCAGCGTCACGGGAGAACTGGTGCACCTCCAGGACTGGGGGAGGAAGAGGGAGAGTCGTCTGTATGATGTCATGAGAAGACTTAAGGGAGTCGCCAGGGGAAGATGACTCATCGC